TGAAATTTATTTCACGAGTGGGACAAAATTCTTTTTTTTTTATTTTCATGAGTGCAAAGCAAGAGTGAAAATATCAAGAATTCTTTCTCACGATACAATACATATTTCTAGGCATAATTTATGCTTGAAATACACCTTAAATAAAGCGTATCATATTGTAAACTTTAGATATTAAACTTTCATTCTATACCCAAAAAGGATCACAAACATGTCAACTGTTTTTACTATCAAAGTGAGGCATGTGAAAATGAAATTTTATCAAATATATTGGATTTAATTAGACAATGTTAATTTCATAATTGTAAGTTGTTTTCCTGGCAACATCGCTTTTTAAAATTACCATAGACATGTCTTTTTAATCTCGTGGTCGTTAATTTAATGAAAGCTTTATAAGCATGCCTGCAGAGGTAAAACAGCAGTACCGGGTAATTGTTGGCTTTAGAAAATCCACAGTTGTGAAAAGTAGTAAATTGGACGGGTGATTGGTCAGTTAAATTCTCACTCATTAGAGATATCATCTAGACATTAATATCAAGTCGTAATTGTACGAACGAGACATGGAGACCGGTCCTTCAGATGAGACCGTATTTATAAACCGAAGTCCCGTGTCGCAGAATATGCTGGCACGAAAAAGATCAATCACTGGTCAATGGCATTGAGTGCCGAGTATATGTCAAAATTTGCAGCTCTCCATCGGCAAGTGGTGGCGTCTCCATATGAGTGAAAAATTCTCGAGAGGGACATTATAAACAACAAACCAAAAAAAAAAAAAAAACAAACAAACAAACAAACAAAAAACGAACAAGCATTAAATGAAAATCGCATAATTAATCCTTCATGGTATTACAGTTTCAAACAATATTTCATGAGAATCAAGATTCTTAAAGAGAAACTATCGATTAAGATTTTGTTTTACTACCGTCGTAAACCAAGACCAAAATGTTCGACCCCTTTCTCACCGGTAGGAGAGAGTCATATGCGGACTCCATAGATTGGCTTGAGACGATGGAGTTTTTCATGCACCGTAAACATGATAAAACCCTTTGGCATTTAGCTGACTTATTTTTCTTGTTGATTTTTTTTCTTAACGATTGCAATAGACCCCCTCTTTCCTGTGATCTACCCACACTGCACATATTGTCGTCCATCGGTACATATTGTCGCAGGCGATATATAATGTCGCCGGCGACAATATATAAACTGAGATGAGCCTTTTTTCCTCCCGCATAATGGACGACAAAATGTTATTTTGTCGTAGGCAACAATACGTAATGTGAACATTTGCACATTTTGTCGCCGATATATTGTGTTGAAGAGTATTTACTAAGGCCGTGAAGAGAGATAGATTGAAAGATTGACACACACAGGGACAGACAGATAGAAGTATAGACAAAGTGTATCACAGGCAGATAAAATAAGTAAACAAGTTGTATTTATTTAGCGTACATGTAACTGGCAATACTGTAGGTAGAAAAGGTTTCGATCAGTCAACATACGCACTGAAGGTAGGTACACATTGTCGCCGGTGTAACGAAAAAGTGACCCCTGTATTGGGGGGGGGGGGGGCTTTTTTCTAGTGTAGAAATTTGACCCCTGGTCAATATTCTCCATAGAAAAATGACCCACTTTTTTGTAGAAATTATGGACTTGAGGTCATTTTTCTCTGTGTGGATTATAAAAAAAATGACCCCTGGAATAATGACCCTGTGTCATTTTTGATACAAAAACTGGTTTTGATAGGAATATTCTTGTTAGGCAATGAATATACATAGGGGTAAAATTACGCAGCCTTTTTATATGAAGTGTTCATTTCTAAAAGTTTTAAAGTTTAAGTAACAAAAATTAAAAGGTACTATACTATTGTACTATACATGTATCTTTCATCTTTGATACAAAAGTTTTATCCCCATTAAAGGAAAACATGTTCTGTGACTATTAGAGCAAGAGTTTGCGCATTCTTAGGTTCGTTTTATCACATATCATAAATAAGTTTTCACAGTTGTCATTATTTAAAAAATCAAGATAATTTTCTTAGCTGGTGTCAAAAAGAGAAACCTATTAAATAGAGAATGTATAGTTTCCATAATTGTAATCCTCTTTGATTTAGCTCTGGGTAAATAATGTGCAAAAAGCCAAAAATCCAAAATAAAGTCTCAAACCTTTTTTTCAGATGTTATAAGAAAGGTTAACGTTAACATTTGGACCCTACCGAAATAAAACTTCATGAAACAAATGGGCGATTGCTAAGGAAATTAGATCTCATAAAGATCTTTTCGAATTTCTTTATTGTTCTTCTCATAAAAATGTAGGAAAGATTAAATTTATGAAAAATAACAGACATGACCTTCGAACTCAGGGTCCAGGCAAAATTTATCACCAGGGTGGGACCAGTGCAAAAAATAATAATTATTGATTTTAAAAAAGTCTTGGTCCAACACCTTAAAGAATGAAAAAAGTAAATGATCCATCCTCATTTTGTTTAGAAAAGTCAAATTAATATTTCTGCATATATAACCATCAGTTATCTAGAGGGGTGGGGTATAGATGAATAACAATTGTAGCTACATATTCCATTCAGTTGAAGTAAAATTGGCATTTTCCTTTTCAGAACCAAAATGTTTATGTTTTGGAAATTTAAATGTGATTTTGGGATAACATGCAACTTGGAAATGTATAAAAGACAAGTTAAATCATGTATATAAAAATATCTGAGCCATAATGCATTTGAGCGATAGAGGAAGATGAGGGATACCTCTAATAGCTTTGGTACACACCTTGCAAATCTGATTATCCCCTCGCAACGGAGTTGGAGGGATATAGTAACGCAATCGATCGTGTGTATGTGTGTGGGTTATGTCCTGTGCGAAACGGAAGTGACGTAATTTGCATCGGGATCGATTTCGAATGCTCCCTTGCATTTATAGAGAAGCTCTTTGCGAGGGATGCTCCTCTTTGCGGTGTCCTTGTTAAATTTAATTTTTAATATTAATTTACAGGCCTGAATAATCAAACTAAAATTTCTTAATGCTACTGATTTAGAAAAATAGAGCTTCTGATATTTAATGAGAACTTGAATTTTCATAGAAAGCATGGATCCAACAATCATCATCTTAGGGTCAATCAATCCATATGGTTGTATTCTCGTAATTGACCATAACTTTTTCTCTTATTTTTCATTGAAACATGGTAAATATGGTGTTGTTTTACTTGTTATAGCATGTAATTTCTTAATCTAAAATAATATATTGTAAAAAGACCTGAATTTCCATCGACAGCATCTATAATCATGTAAAGTTCAGTCAATTGTTATTCGTGTGTTCTCTTAACTAACCATATAAGGTAAATTTGTTATTATTTTTCTTGTAATAACCCACCATACTTTCTAAATCTAAAACGATATCTTAATTTCCAGACAATTTAGAAATGTTAAAGGAGACAGATGACAGATTAGCACTTAATGTCAGGTCTAAATAGTTGAAGTTGGAAGGAACCTGTGATTCTATAGGGTTTCGTTTAGGCTTATATATTACTACACATATATGACTATGAAATGTTCTCCCACTTTTTATGCTGCGTTTGACCAGGCGTCAATAATTTCAGTTAAGGAAAGTGGTCTGTTACCAGCTTATCTTTTGAGATTTACAAACCAATCTTAAGATATACGATGCATATATTTTAAAAGACGTTTTACAGATCAGGCCAACTTTTTGGTCTGTTTTCAGTTTATAAAAAGGGGTACACAAACCAAACTTCCTCCTGAGGTGTATCTACATATCTATGATCATTTCAATGGGTGCTGTGCATGCTTCAACTGGCCTACATTTCATGCTTCCGTGATTATTAAGAACAGTTTCAATTTTGTCTTATCACAAGGAGTTTACAAAGCAAACTTCCTTAGCACATCCGTGGATGTTCTGTTTAATGCATTTGTACAAATCTGCATTCTCTTTGAGTATGTCCCACAGGATGCACTTTTCCACTTAGGAGACAGCTCTAGTTCTCACCAGTGATTTGATGGAAATTTACCTCAAAGAAAAAAAAATACACTAGTCTAATAAAATGATATGTGTTTTTAAAGCTCCTATACAAATCATATTCAATTGTATGCTATATATAACTGTTTTTGCATCCATACATGGTTTGTGGGATATCTCCCCCATATTGCTATGATATGGTTTGTGGGTCCCTACCCACAAGTATGCTGCACTTTACCCCTTAAGAAACACCTTTAGTTCTCACAGGTGCTTTGATGAAAATTTACCTCAAAGAAAAAAACCTATATACTAGTCTGATAAAATGATATGTGTTTTTTGAGCCCCAATACAAATCATATTCAATTGTATGCTACATATAACTGTTTTTGCATCCATACATGGTTTGTGGGATATCTACCACAAAGAATATATATATATATATATATTGCTATGATATGGTTTGTGGGTCCTACCCACAAGTATGCTGCACTTTACCCCTTAGGAAACACCTCTAGTTCTCACAGGTGCTTTGATGAAAATTTACCTCAAAGAAAAAACCTATATACTAGTCTGATAAAATGATATGTGTTTTTTTGAGCTCCAATACAAATCATATTCAATTGTATTCTATATATAATTGTTTTTGAATCCATACATGGTTTGTGGGATATCTCCCACAAAGAATATATATATATATATTGCTATGATATGGTTTGTGGGTCCCTACCCACAAGTATGTTATATATAATTATCTACTATAGATCGCTGTGGGACTCATACCCACAATGTAATGACCCACAACGTTATCTATAGCTTTGAAACCAAATATGAGAAAACTTTATAATTTTTCTATATTTGGGATCTACATCAAAAACTATTCTTAAAAATGTGTTTCCTTTTGAAATAAGCCTATTACAAATGCAGGGTCCCATAAACCATGTTTATGTGTCATGACCCGCAAACCACGTCAAGTACGTATATATATATATATATATATATATATATATATAAAACTGATATTAACAGGGACAGGAAATAAATGTCTTATGTGGTCGAGATGTGATGCAAGCGATCGAAAATGTAAGTAATATAAAGAAATGATTTACCTGATCAGCAATTTTCGACGCGCGTGGCAATTGAATTAAAGATCTTACTTCAATTGATATCATATTATTATTTGCTGAATTGATGTGCGCAATGAATAATAATTTTGCTCTCTTCAAATTCATGATATTAATGCGCGCACTTATTCAATTGAAGAGAGCAACAATACAATTTTAAGTATGCGCAATACATGTATTTGAATTATCGCTATCTTCCCTTGAATAATTGCACACAGCAATTCAAATTAATGCATGCAATAATTGAATTATTCCTCTCTTTTTCCTTAATTGCTCGCATCAGTTCAATTCATGCACGCATCAATTCAAGTGAGGACAGTAATAATGAGATTAATTATACACGTATCTTCTGCCCTGTTCACACGAAGAGTTCAATTCCAATTAAACGTAAGTTACTGCGAATTAAACATGAACCGCGTTCATACGGACAATTTAATGCGAATTAGTTAAATTTCGAATTAATATATTGCGCATCAAATTACTTCGCATAAGCTCCATGTGAACACTAAACGAAGCTAATTCGAATTAAATTTTGGCGTTTGCGTAATGACACATGTCGGTGGTAGGTACTCTATGCTAAATTTGAATAAAAACAGAACAAAATGCCCATGAGCCACAACTCTCACCTGAGTAACTTTGGCCCCGCCGTTCTTCACATTATTTCCCCACTTTTGATACCTATTGTGGCCCCACCCTACCCTCAGGGGTCATGATTTGAACAATTTAGAATCTACACTACCCAAGATGCTTCCATTTAAGTTTCAGCTTTTCTGGGCCAGTGTTCTTGAGAAGAAGATTTTTAAAGATTTTTTGTTCTATATTTCTCAATGTAAAATTTGGATTCCCTATTGTGGCCCATCCCTACCCCGAGGGTCATGATTTGAACAATTTAGTTAAACAATAAAATGCTTTCTTTGGTTGTTAGTACGGGAATTAATGTTGCAGCTGTTGCAGAAAAAATACATAACCCGCTTAAGCGTGTTATGTAAATAATTTCTGGAATAGCTGCAACGTTAATTCTCATACTAACAAACAAAGAAAGCATTTTATTGTTTATATTTATATCTGTACAAATAATAATTTTAAGTAGGATTTAGTAGATGAAATATTTTTTTGATATGTACGCCATTGTATGTTTCATTGTCAATCATTGATGGAACAGCCACTGCTCAAGAAATCTGTACAGCTGATATGCTTACTGCTGTTTACTGACTGATTAACGGCAATGGTTTTCTTAGGAAATAAAGGAAATAATATCCAGTGGATGTAAATATAATCTACACTACCCAAAGATGCTTCCACTTAAGTTTCAGCTTTTCTGGTCCAGTGGTCCTTGAGAAGAAGATTTTTCCTATACATTTCAATGTAAAACTTGGATTCCCTATTGTGGCCCTGTCCTTTCTCCGGGGTCATGATTTGAACAATTTAGAATCTACACTACCTCAGGATGCTTCCACACAGTTTCAGCTTTTCTGGCCCAGTGGTACTTGAGAAGAAGATTTTTTAATGACCCGACCCTATTTTTGTCTTTTCTTGATTATCTCACCTTGTAAGGGGGCTTGGTCCTTCATTTTAACAATTTAAACTCCCCTTCGCCAAAGGATGCTTTGTACCAACTTTTGTTAAAGGTGCATAGACACAGATTTGAACTTAATATTTTCTCAAATTTTCTATATAATATCACGACTTATATAAACTTTGCACACACCATTGAGCACGGACTTACAATACTGTGAGTGGGTTTTGCTTTCGAACATTTCTACTCTGAATTTTTTGGTTTATAGTTTTGATATTTTTCATGAATACACAACAAAATTGCCACTTTTCTTAAGTATTAAAAATAAAATTAAAATATGTGAAAGCGCAAGGATGTGTCAATCCAACGCGTCCAAAAATTCGAAGTTTTAATAACTTCGAGATGAAATAAGATTTTTATTATATTTTAGTATGAAATGCTATAGCAACATATAAGTCATGAAATTATACAGAAAATTTGAGAAAATAGTAACTTCAAATCTGTGTCCAATCACCTTTAAAATTGGCCCAGTGGTTCTTGAGAGGAAAATGTGAAAAGTTTACAGACGGACGGACGACGGACAACTGGTGATCAGAAAAGCTCACATGAGCTTTCAGCTCAGATGAGTTACCGGTAAAAACTATGGTAATGTCCAAAAGTTATAATGCGCATTAGTTTACTTCGCATTAACTGTCGTGTGACCGGAATTTGATTTGCATAAGTTTAATTCTCATTAATTTTCTTCGCATAATTTATGTAATGTGCATTCGTCTGAACAGGGCATTCAATTAAAGATATCTTCAATTGCTATGAATGTTAATTTGCGCTTCATACCTATATATCAACTGTATTCGCAATGTGTTTCGCGACATTTTTTTCTGACCAAGGAAAACTAACTTTACATCATGAATGTGTATGTAGATCTATTCACACATGAAGTTCGATCACACTATTCTATCATATTAATTACACACTCACTATTTTTCCATATTAAAGGTTTTTTAATTTTTTCTGATATTTCGTTGTTAGGGTAATTCTATAATCATATCTGACGGTCCATATATAAGCCGCATTAATAAGGCTGGCTGCGTCAGGGCCTTGGGGACATGGATCCAGACAAATGCTATGGTGTTGGGGGGCATTCTGCTAGGAATACTTCTGCCGCAGGTAAATCAAGCAGATTTGATCAACCTACCTCAAAAACAAATTTTCTATCATCTATTTAAAAATAGAGGTTATGTATGAACGTTTCCAAAATTGTCATATTTGAACACATTTAAACGTACGTGTCGCTGATTGTAATGAATTCAGTTGCTACAGGAATCTAGTAACGATGCTATAATTGTGATGTTCACGAACGTACACACCTGTATGCATATTTTTGCCGTTCTATGTGTACTTATTACATAAAATAAATACAAATACAGTAAAGCAAAGATACCCATTATAAAAATTCATATACCGTCTTCAAATTGGTATTTTTTAAATCTCTGTAATTTAGATGTTTGTTATGTGTCTTTCCCGTACACTGAGGGATCAAATTAAAAGCCAGAAATCAAAATGGGGACGTCAACGCCGTTACCAAGACAACCCAGCTTTTGATCGGCACTGAGCATGTGCATCAACAAGGTGAAACTTTTTCTAAACGATAAAAAGAACTGTGATATATGAGATTATGGCAAATTAACAGTGCCTGTAGTTTATTCATATTACTGTGATTCAGTGTTTTAATTTTATGTTGATTTGTACAGTGTATCAATTTACATAATACATACATAAATGAATTCCTACCATTATGAATTTGTAGAATACATGTATAATAGCAATGTGTGAGAGAGAGAGAGAGAGAGAGAGAGAGAGAGAGAGAATCTTCATTATATGTAAATTTGAATATATTCATTGTTCATTTAATATGAAGAATTAAAAAAAGCTGATAGCAATAAGAGATAACTGCAACAATTTATTTTGCGATTGTACATATCTGTGAACAAAATAGCCAAAAATCAGCAAAATAACAAATGATTACAACCATTGTATGAGATATATATATCCACCTGTTCTAGGAGGAAGTACTGCTATGAACACAAGGGACAAATTTATCATTCTCATAAAAAGACATTCATTGAATCTAAAATTAGCTTTGCAGAAATAGATCATCACATGCATATTTTTTTTTCTCTCAAAAGATAAATCGTGAGATTAAAATATTCAAAATAACAGTAACATTGTATCAGCACTATAAACATACCTACATACAGTGTATGCTGTGTCAGCTATATAAATATACCTACATACAGTGTATGCTGTGTCTGCTACATAAATATACCTAATACAGTGTATGCTGTGTCAGCTATATAAATATACCTAAATACATTGTACACCGTGTCAGCTATATAAATATACCTACATACAGTGTATGCTGTATCAGCTATATAAATATACCTACATACAGTGTATGCTGTGTCAGCTATATAAATATTTAGGCACGACTTAGTACATATTCAGATACCACTGTATCAGTTAAAAGATGCAAGTCATATATCATGTATATTCAACCAATATCTAAAGTTCCTCTTCTCTGAGATTATATAGTCTTATCACATATTTTAGGATTTTAAATGTAAAATTAGATAATGTACATATACCATTTGCATATATTTTGCAAATTATACATTTTGCCCTAACTTTAGGAGATTCATGAATCTTATATAATTAAACTGAAAAAACAACAACAAAATCACAGAAGAAAAACTGTTTAGCAGTACCAAGTATAATCAAAGAAGTCACCCAAGGTGAGTGGTTGCTCATTATAATAGCAAAGACTACAGAGCTAGTCTCATCAACAAATCGTCATTAAAATAACTAATACTACAGAGCTAGTCATCAACAAAACAAAATAAAGACAGTCCTTATGTATCCTTTTTTTCCTTGTTAAGAATGTTGCCTTTATTTACAAAAAGCAAGAATAAAGTCTTCATCTAGATTAAAGAGTTGTACTTAAATTTCTATGACCTAACGTATATTGAATTCTTAAAGTCATGAAGTTAAATGTGGACCTCAACACATAAAATAAATATACAAGAAAACATTGAAACCCAAATGTTAAATGTGCATGTATCCACATTACTGACAAATATTTTACAGAAGGTAGGATGCACATATAAATAAATTAATCTTTAAGTTATAATCAAAACCAATGTACAAACACAAATGGATGAATGAAAGTTAGATTTTTATTTCTCATTTCTGAATACATGTCGTTGATAATTACTTATTCTCCCTTGCCATGAAAATTGTCAAAAACTATTTCAATCTATTAGTCATAAATCAAAAATGGTTCTGAAGAATACAAAGACAGGAAATAGGAAAACCCTGGTAAACAGGGATGGTGATTATTTTAGAAATGATCAATGTCTGTTAAAGTTTTGGTTGGCAGGAAGCAAGTGCTTGTTTTGGAATCTTATTGAGGGAATATGGATGTGCAGTGTTTTGATAGGAACTGAAAGGATGTTTTAGAAGTTTATTCTGAGTGAATGTGAATGGGCATTTCTTTGTTGGAGGGCCACCTACACACAGGACAGTAGTGATTATCCCTCTGTAACCAGGTCACAATACAGCGGTGATGGAAGCTGTGTTTACAGGGCAAGCCACACAATAGAACCCCAACCTCATAATCCTCCAGACAAACCACACACTGGCTACACTCCAGGAAATCACCCACAGTTGAGGAGGGTCTTAGGCTTGCTGTACTGCTATCACAATTCTGAGTGAGGGTTTCTGATCTTAAATTCTGAATACTAGAGAAGCCGTCAAAGTGTGTAACATTGTCTATCTCTTTGGTGTGTCTGTCTGCTTGTGGAAAGGCATTGTCTTGTTCAAAAATGGTGTAGTTTGAATGATATGATGTACAATTGTGTTCTGGTGTTACATTAACTGGGTCCATTTTGGTGTAGGGCCAGGTAGGCAGATGTTTAATGTAATCAGATGACATGTGAGCTGCCATCCAAAGGGATGGAATTTCCTGTTGGTTCCACTCTAGAAATGCATTACGATCTAGGTGACTCAGGCTTCGAGGATGTAAAGGGTAAAACAAATGTTCTAAAGTTCTGAACCTAGCAAAATTCCAATCCTGGTTGGACTCTTCCTCTGTACTTTTCTTATAAAACCATATTCCTAGTGCAAGTAAATACAACCCTAACCAAACTTCAACAATGATCAAGTGTCGAGAGTAAAATTTAAAATCGGCTCTGACAAAGGCCATGGTGTCAGTAACGCCTAATAAACGGATCAGCTTAAGACCATAGGGAATAAAATCAGCTAGAAAGGGAATCTGGAAGAGCGTTAAAAGGCCCATCCATAGAAGGATGTGTATGATATTATACTTTATGGCACAAAACAGTAACATTACAATCCTTTTAATAAATGAACCTTGAACTAAACTGATCTCAAAAATAGTGAGACTATTACAGATGAATAGTGTTAAAATAAAAACATCATTAAGACTTGGATATAAACATTTTAAATATGTTTCCATGGATTTAAAAGAAATTGATTCTGAAGGTCTGGTCCCATATTTGAAAAGTTTTTCTTTAGTTATAATGAAGTATGCCAAATTATTCTTCTCTGGAAGGAGCTTCCATGCATTACTTTTAATCAATACTTCTCTAGAGGTCACTCCGAAACGAATTCTTCCTGGAAAACGTACACTCAATGCCGAATAAAAAAGGGGAACTTGCGTTTGTTTTGAAACCATGATGATACGAATCTCAGGGTCTTCTGAAGGTTTGTAAGAGATCCAGTTCTTGTTAAGTTCCATGGGATCTTTAATGACAAGGACTTTATGGTTGACAGTGTCTTTGATCCAATTACTGATGCTTGCCAGTTTATAGTTACCTGAAAAAGTGCATAATTCATAGTAAGCTTTATAAGTGTTCAGTAAAAAGAGATTCCCATAATTGAACAGTAAATAGTGACCTGCGTAAATGTACAGCAATACCTGTGTTAACTGTAAATAGTCACATGTTAGTGTGCATAACTGTAATACACTGTACTTACCTGTATAGGTGTATAGTTGGACTTGAGATTTAGACTGAAATTTCTGAGGCAGGCCAAGGATCAGGCGAGTGGAATCCCAGCTCTTCCAATTGCAGAACCTGTGAACATGTATTATACATACATAAGGAACTAAATGACAATTCATCTTCATACAGCACTCATTACTAATTAGATAGGGGACACTGATACATGAATTGCAATTTAAAATGATTTTAATAATTTGTTTATATCACCACCACAACATAACTTGTCCAAGTGAAACAAACTATGAAACAAATAAAACTTGAATTTGAATGTAACAGGTAGACCTATTTGGATACCTGTAATCGGTTTTGCAGTTAAAGTTTCCCACTCTGACCCCAAACTTAGTAACTTTGTTGATGACAGTTGACCAGGAGGCATCAGAAAGAGGCTTGAAGTCCCACTGTTTGGTGATAATCCTGACCAACCAAACACTGTCTTTAGCATCCTCCACCTGTTCCAGGAAATGAGATCCTCCAGTGAAGTTTGTGGGGGTAGTAGATTCCTCCAAGACAGCGTCACTTACTTCCCCCTCCGTCACCAGTCCTGAACAGAAAATAAAACATACAGCCTAGATACAAACTAAAGAAACAGACAACTATCAGAACTGATTTTTTATTATCAAAAAAATGTAAAGACACTTAAAAATAATTTATTTATTTTAATCCTTCTTCAAATATTTTTATAACCATGAACTTAAAATCAAATACAACAATTAACTCATGGTAAAAAATAGAACACAGAACACGGGAGTTAGGACCAAATAATATTTGTCTTGGTATTGAATGATCTATTGCAGCCTGCAGGTAAAGCTAAATAGATTTTATTAATAAATGTAATTTATCAAACTGAGTGTTAAATTTTTTCTAACACAGATTTGAATTGAAGATAATATTTTTTCATAACAGGGTTGATTTCATCAATGATAACTTGCCATATAAGAAATATATTTAATTTACAAGCAAAGCATAAGAATTGAAATTTGTTGTGTACCTGTGGCGTCAACAAGCTCTCTGAGCTCCTGTTTTTCCACTAAACCCTCATAACTGACACCTCTCTGCTCCAGAAGCGTCTTCAGCTTCAGAACAGACAGGGTCATGGGGTCAAGCAGACGATGTGACAGCACCCCCGTCTCCACCCAGTTAACTGCTTCGAGCAACCGCGCAAGGATAAACAACACAGCTACATAGATCAGCAATAGAACTAACTTGAACCACATTATCTGATAATGATCAAATGACTGTGACACGTCAGCTCTTATTAGTTTCTTCCTCAGATTTCAGGACGTAACCTACCCTTCAAGAATGAAGAGAGTGGAGGTTGGGGTCTAAATAGAAATACATTGTCAGCAACTCATGCCAGTCTTTGGAATACTAAGAAACGGCAAGGAGGGGGACCGATATCGAAACTTGACGAAAGCTGTCAAAGTTAACCGGAAGTAAACAGAATCGGTCAAAGTATACATATTGAAACCGCACTGTCCTTTAAAAAATCCGGAATATATGGAATCAGTGCATTTTGGCAGAAACTTAAAGGATACATTAGTTTTTGAAATGTTAATTTTTATATTATTTAAATTTTGCTAAAAAAGAAAAAAAAATTTGCCACATTTCTACCTATTATTGATCTAACTAAGCGAAGGATTTTTTGGGGAAAAAGATGAGCATAAACAGTTGGAAAAGAGTTTAGTTTAAAATGATCATGAAATAAGAAAATTACAATAATTCCTAGTAACTAAAGCGGTTTATAAAAAAGCGTAAACTGTTCCAACCCAGTTTATACCGTATAAATTGGGTAGCTATTAAATTCATTCCTTATAATTTAATTTTCATTTTTTGGTGTAAGAAAAAAGATTATTGTCCTTAAAAGATGACTTCAATTTGTACAAAATTTGAATGTAACGTCGGGCGGATCGCCGGATACGTTTTTGACGCAAGTCATTGTGACGTAGGCAACCCATTTTATACAATATAAAATAATTTTTTTTATCCAATTAAATACAGCGTTACAATCAGAATTAAATTATTACAAGTTCAACAAAAATGTCCAGGGTCTAAAATGATGTGCAAAAGTAATATCAAGCCGTTTATCGAGGGGATAAATTCTAATTTTTTTTTTCATTTATTGCAAAATTAATTATATGTTATGTACTGATCCAAATGCTCAGAATGAATGTCAGATTAATAAATTTACTCAAATAATTTTAACGTAATCCATGAAAACGCGTTTTTAATTAAAGGAATCGATTATTTTTTTACTCGTTTTTCAAGCGATGCTAGTAGCAGCATTAGAAGCGTTACGTCAATACTTCCGTAGCGCTATGAAAGCGTAACGTTAAACGTCACCAACAATACGCGTAACGTCAAAATGTCTGACGCTGACGACCTTTTTTCAGCTTTTCAAAATATTTTTGATCGGCGCTGCCCCCTCCCAAAATCTGAAATATTGCTTCCTAGGCCAGTTAGGATACGATCGCAACTCATTAAAGCTGCAATGACTGTTGTGTATCTTGTCCAAAAGTTGCAACAGAATGGATCCGCTCTGACACGATTTTGGAGTGTATTAAAAAAAATATATACCAAAGTAGCAACCCCACTATAGATGATAAGTTACAGAAACCCAGACGCGGATCCAGGATTTTTTTCCCGGGGGGGGGGGGGGGGTTCACCCCAGTCAAAAAAATTCCAATCCAGAAATTTCTTGACAAAATTTTTTTTTAAAATTCCATTTCCCGAAAGTGAAAAAAACCTTTTTCGTGGTGGTGATGGTGGGGTCTACGTTTCCTAAAGGGGGGGGGGGGTCCAAAGTAATTTTTTATTTGCTTCAGTTTATACTTTTAATAACTCTGCAAATTCCTGGAGGGGGTCCGGACCCCATAGTGACAGTTGGTATTTGCGTTTTGTTAGTACGACTTGTATTTTTTTTTCTACTTCGCGTTTTTCTCCTTTTATACATACTCCTTCAAGCTAAATTTCTTATTCAGATACGTTATAGATTTATACTCAGCTGTTTACTACACAGATCTACTTTCTCTGAATGAAACCAAAAAAGCCAAATAAGATGGAAGGGACTGGATTCCCTTCTATTATCATATAGTTTCAGCGTTTTCAGTGATACACTTAATTCCGAAACGCAATCAGTCCTCACGCTTGAGGATCGTAAATATCTACGCTAAAAGGGTCCAAACAGATGCCGCTATATTGGAGTATCCAAAGCATTGGACATGGCCGTAGGAACCGAGGGGGGGGGCACAATAATTTTGCCGACATATAGAGTACTATAGAAAAAAAATAGATACTATATGCTTGTGTCCCCTCAATAAAAACGTCTGATGACCTTTTTTTTTGGCTTGTCAAGGAATTTTTGGTAGTTGATAGTGCCCCCTCAACTGAAAATGTCTGGCTGTGCCCCCCCCCCCCCAACTGAAATTGCTTTCTACGGGCCTGTTGGACACCGTCCCTCACAACAAGTTGTTGCGCACGAGAATGGAATCGGAGGGAAAATACATTAACATACATGGTTAAATACTTTCTTATGTGCTAGGAAGTCGTGGATGTGGAGACTTCAAGTGAGGATACAGTGATTTCGGGGGGGGGGGGGGGGGGTACACCTAGGGACAGTCCTTGGACCCTCTCTTCGCATGCCATACCTACATGTATGACTGGCAATGTAAGTGTACTGTAAATTTCAGGTTCCTTTGTTTGCAGATGATGACCTTCTTTATCGACAGATTCATACATATAATGAAAATATAATGCTCCAGGACAACTTCTGTACTAGTATATAAGAAAAGTGGGGTTCAAAATGATGCATGAGATTGAATGCGAGTATAATTTTACATCCGCAGAATCGGGAAAAGATCAATATTCTTCTACCAACTGAACCACACAATCCTGAAGGATGCACCTTAGACTTATCATCTCAAATGATCTGAAATGGACAACACACATGGATAAGATATGCAAGAAGGCAAGTTCTACTTTGGGCTTCATCCAACGAACCTTTAACATTATCCTCATCCGTTATTTTACTATAGTCAGATCAGCCTTATCATAGTATGGAATCTTCTGGATTGCATACATGTAATCAGGCATTTATAAAACTAGAGCAAAATCTACTAAAAAAAACTGGGACACATTTCATCATATAAATCAAAGTTATAGGTCTCGAGATCCAAGGATGTCAAAATACATGAAATTATTGTTCCTGCAAGGACCCCGGAAAGAGACGCGGCTTTCATTTTTATGCTAGTTGGTCTCGTTCAGGCCAACCCTCCGAATTACATATAATATATAGGCATCGTGTAAAGACGAAGCACCGCATAGATTTAGTTTGTAAAGATAATTTTATGTAAGGCCAACTTAAAATAGTGTGTGCTTGCCCTCTCCCAACTCAGGGTGGTAGATATCTATAGGTGAGAAATTTTTTTCCAAGTAAGTTGCTGAATTTTCAAAATCTATTTTCCGGAATGCATAAAAAAATAATTGCTTCCTGGAGGTTAAAAAAAAAAGTTTTGACCATTTTTTGCCAGTCGGTCGGGAGAAGGCAATCAAGCAATTTTTTAAAGATGGACTAATCGAGACCAATGAAGTCTCGTATATAGCGGACTTTAAATAAATACAATGGTAATCTGCATTTGATCTATCTTCACTTTTTAAAACCATCACTGTTTTGATTTATGAGAAGAAAATAGATATGGTTCTCCTTAAAACCACTGCAAGGAAGGAGAAAATCGCAGAAAGGGCCGCAAAAAGCATCTGTAATGTAAACATTACGTATCAGTTGCGGTGTAGACTTTGGATGGTCATCTACATTTCGATGTCACTCATTTGGTGTGGTTAAACACTTTACAGACCCAATTCCTACCAGCCCTAAAAGTAGAATAAACTGGATAATATTGAAATGGTGAGAATCTCAAAGGTCTTCTCTTTTGGTAAAAGACATTAGGATGAAAGGACTGTATTTGGGGAGGACTATTTTGTACTCAAAATTTTTTTTAGTGATGACCATTTTACGCAGTTCTACTTTTTTTACTTTGACTTTTGACCTAGATACTTTACTCTAGATCATTGAACACACTTTACTGGTAGTACTCACGAGCACTTTTAGATTGAACTCTGATTCAGGTTGGACAACGGGGAGAGAACTATGCTTACAACAAGCAATTTACTCTGATATTGACCTTTAGCTTACGCCTTTACCCACAGGAGAGAAAATAAGGATTTCGCTCAAAGATCTGTTATGACCTTAACCCCTGACCTTTAGAAACTAGGGTCAAGAGGTCACTACACACCCTTTACCCATGAACACTCTGTGGGGGAAATATATGAGCCAGATAGGACAAAGGAGAGAGAAAATATGATTCGGGGAAGAATTTTAAACAAATGTAAGTGTAGTATTCCTGATCGCGAAAGCAAGAAACTGAAGAAACAAGCAAATTCAAAGAATTGTGGTCTCCCGCTTTCAGTGTCTTAGTGGATGGGAGATGCCATTATTTATGGCATATTGTAACTGTCTTCTTTGTGTGTCCTGTCTTGTCTTTGCATCATACAAAAAATACCTAAATTGTTGAATTAATAACAGTTGTGTCAAAGATTATAGGTTCTCAAAACTGCGTCAAACTTCAACATCAAGTCATGAGGTCAAATATTATGATACGTCTTGTCACAAGTAGTGCACAAGTGAAAAAAATCTATCAAAAACCAGAGTATACAGTCGGAAAGGTCTTGAAACAGGTAGTGCACATGTCAAAGGTAAATGCAATATTGTTAATTTTTTTGAAAATTAGGTCAAACTTTAAGGTCAAGGTCATGGGGTTAAAAATCGTATAGTACTTGGAAATTCTTGTCACAGGTAATGCACGTGTCAAATCTGAATACCCTATCTTCGCTCCTTCAAAAGTTGGAAACACTGATAGATTAATTGAAAATTAAGTCAAACTTGAAGGTCAAGGTCACGGGGTCAAATCATAGCACATTCGGAAACATTTTGACATAAGTAATGCACTTGTCAAATATGAACGCCCTAATATTGCCATTCAAAAGTAATAACCAAAAGATAAAATTTTTGAAAATTAGGTCAAACATGAAGGTCAAGTTCAAGGGGTAAAAAATCATAGCATGCTCGGAAACATCTTGTCACAGGACATAAAAATTAATGTCAAATATGAAACCCCTATCTTTTCTCATTCAAAAGTTATAAGCAAAAATAAAATTTTTGAAAAGTAGGTCACACTTCAAGGTCACGAGATCAAAAACCATAGTGCATTTGGAAAGGTCTTGTCACAGGTAATGTACATATCTATACATATTAAATATAAAAGCCTCATTTTTCATCATTCAAATTTTATGACTAATTTAAGGTAATGTTATATTTTTTGAAAAAAAAAAAAGATTAAAATTTAAGGTCAAGGGGTCAAAAAATTCATAGTATATTTGGAATTAAAGGTATTGTCACAGATAATGCACACATGAAAGCCCTATCTCTTTTCAATCAAAAGTTATATGCAAAGATAAAATTTTTGAAAAGTAGGTCAAACATGAAGGTCTAGGTCACGGGGTTAAAAATCATAGTATATTTGGGAAGGTCTTGTCACAGGTAATATATGAAAGTTCTTTCTTTTCTTATTCAAAAGCTATGACCAATTTAATGTAATGTTAAATTTTTTGAAAAGTGGGTCAAACTTCAAGGTGAAGGAGTCAAAAGTCATAGTATTTAGAAAGGTCTTGTCACAGGTAATGGGTAATGTACTTGAAATATGATAGCCCTATATATCTACTCATTCAAAAAAGGGTTATGACGTCGACCCTGGTTAAATTAAAGTTTTTGTGACAGACAGACTTACAGACGAATGAGATTTAATGTCCCTTCTCTTTCGCGAAACGGGGGATATTCTGGTCGTCTTCATTGGAAATACATGTTTACAAGTATTCAGTCCCGTGAATTACTGTAGCTCGCTGGTCTGAAAAAATTGGGATGGACGACCCAATTTTTTCAGACCGGCGAGCTACAGATCTGCAGCTAGAATTAGGCAGTAATATATTAAATAATCTGTGACAGATTTTGTCAGTCCACCCTCTTCAAGATCAAATGGTTGTTCCCTAAGAGATTTGAACTAACTGAGTGATAGTGCCAGTGATAAAACTGTTCATACAGTCGTATTGTTTATCCTTTGATCCGCCGCCTGAATTGAACCGGAAATTACGTTTTATTTAGGAGCAACAGCAAAAACATGGCGGCTGTTCTCTTTCGAAAAAGCAGACGGATAGCGTCAAAACTGAGATTTGAAAATGTTTCTAAGGTTTGTAAGCAATTATTGTTCATATTTGCAAATTTATTTGATTAAAACGAAGTATTGCAGAAGCTGCAATAATCGATAAAGTCCACAATCCGAATGACTTTTCATGTCCTTGCTGAAGGATCGAGACTTCGATTCCGATCATAATATTGAGGAAAATATGTTTCGCAGTGTTTTAAATGATTTCCTATCTGGGTGATAAGATCCATAAAGTACATGCTTATAAATATAATTTGGTTTAGAGTGTAGAGACCGCCTGAAGGACAATCTTGCAAAACATGTTAATAGTCACAGGTGCTAGGGTATCATACATATACTAGGTTTTAGTTGTGAGGAAGTTTATTTTAAGTGTAGAGAAGAATGATTGTTTTTTCTATTTCATTTTCATATTTGCTATTTCATAACCCACCCAGGCTGCCTCTACCATTCGTTTCCCTAATCCCTGCACAAAATTTATTTGTAACTTGGTAACCGAATAGCAAATTTATGCCTGGGGTAGGCCTAATATCTTTGTGAAAAAAAACTCTCCCCAAACAAAAAAAAAACCCTCCCCAAACGTTATTAACTTGCCCTGCAAAATAGCAGAACCACAGTTACCGTAAAAGAGCTAATTAAAACATGAACATATTTCATCAAACATGTTTTGGTAAACCTGTCCTTTTTATGCCCCCGTAATCCAAGAATCAGTGGGTTTATCCTTGAGGAACCTATTCGGTGGTAATAAGCATTCAATTACAAAATTTTCCTAACGAGTACACTGAATAGGGAATTAATGCAGTTTTGCTTTAAAGGTTCCCATAATTAATCCAAATATTACCAAAATTTTAATCGAATACTAATGGAATAGATATTTTTTCTCCAAATGTATGACATTCTGTTTTGGGCATGTGCAAATAGATGAGGTACCTAAATCAGTGGCATGATGCTTTTCAAAGGTTTCTACCTTCATAATGATTTAGAAATTATGGAAATGAACATAGCAATAGATTTACAGAATATTTTTAACAGGTACATGTATATATGTTTATATTGAAAGTGATGACTAAAATAGTCACCATATCTGAAAATGTCCTTCCACTGATTTATGACCCTCCATCTGTCTGTTTGTTTGTCCACAAAATCTTTAACATTACCCATAACTTTTGATTGATTGGAGCTATGGCATTCATATTTCACATGTTGTTCCTTGTGACATGACCTTTCTTTGGATATGATCATATTTGACCTTTTGACCTTGGAGTCAGACCCATTTTTGCAAAATTTTACCCAACTTTAACCTTGGCCATAACTTCTGAACAGTTGGTGGTAGGGCTTTCATACTTCGCATATGTAATCCTTATGACTTTCTTTGGATACCAACAACTTTGACCATTTGACCTTGACCAAGGAGTTTGTGACCTTGACCAAGGAGTTTGACCTACATGTACTTTTGAAAAACCTTAACCTTGGCCATAACTTTTGTTTTGAATAGTTGGTTCTACGGTTTTCATACTTCAAATATGTAATCCTTGTGTCAAGACCTTCCTATTGATACCAAAAACTTTCACCCTGACCTAGGAGTTTGACCAACTTTTGGAAAACTTAACCTAAAGGACATGCGCAATGTAGTTTGAACTTTATTGTTTTTTCCCTGGAGTTAAAGAGTTCCAATACTTAAAGGAACTGAGTGCTACATTTTAATATCTATATTTGCTGTTGTACACTTCTCTAAAACAAGTTTTGATAAACAAAACATCTAGAATATATGTTTAGTAATTTTTGTATATTTTTCTTTGAATAATACAAGAATTTTCATCAATTGATATCTTTTCAAAACCCCTGGAAATGCATGCTGATTTTTTGTGTACGAATATCTGATGACACTATAATCTTAAATTAAGAATATCTTGAAAAAATAAAAGTAGGGAAGATACATTGCAATGATTGCATATGTCCTTAACCATAACTTCTGAACAGTTGGTGCTAAGGCTTTCTTACTTCACGTATGTAATCCTTGTGACAAGACCTTGCTTTGGATACCAACAAGTTTGACCCTTTGATATTGACCTTGGAGTTTGACCTACTTTTGAAAAATTTCAGCCTTGGCCATAACTTTTGAATGGTTGGTGCTAGGGCTCTCATATTTCACATGTGTATTTCTTGTGAGAGGGCATTTCCTTGGGCACCATTGATTTTGACCATTTGACCTTGATGTTTGATATACAATGAACATTTGAAAAACTTTAACATTCTCCATATCTTCAATGGTTGCTGATGGGGCTTCCATAGCTCCCAGGTATATTCCTCTAGACAAGATCTTGCTTTGGGTACCAACATATTTGATTTGCATTTGAAAAAAGTTTAACCTTCACTATAAGTTGCCATCAGTATTTCACAAACACATCTTGTTATAAATTATTTCAGGTGCTGGGCGTTTCTGGAGTTAATCATCAAGACAGACGTCACTTGTCCCTTCATGAATACCTAAGTTTTGGACTTCTGAAAGAGGCGAAAGTGCCAATTCCCAGGTACAAGGTCTGTGACCATACAGAGGAAGTGGAAAAAGCCGCCATGGATTTGTGTATGTTAACAATGAGGAGAGATTTCTTATTTAGTATTTACTTGGGAGAAAATAAATATATTCAAAATATTACTTAAATATTGTTATAGAAAACTATCTGAATTATGAAATAAATTTATATACAGTTAGGCCCAGTAGATTAAATGCTATGAAAGACAATACAGATAATCTGGAAAATTCTGCCATAATGTGAAATGTGAATCTTTGGTTCTACAACTATTAAACTTTTGTTTGAAATTCTCTCAACAGTGGAACATACTGGATCACCTGATGTGGTCATAAAGGCACAAGTACTCAGTGGAGGACGGGGTAAAGGTCATTTCACCAGTGGTCTCAAAGGAGGAGTTAAAATATGTTTCTCGTAAGTTGAATGTAAAGCTAGGAGTGAGAGGTAAAAGAGTTAGGTTGTTTGATCATAGTGTAGCATAGACTGTCTACTACATGTAAGCTCTTGTCATTTTCTAAATGACAAAGAGCATAATCTTGCTCAGAATGGTGCAGGTGTTTGTAGATTGGCATGTATAATTTACTGCCACTGTATTATACTTGAAGGGACAGGTTGACCTGGGTTTTGTAGCAGACTTGGCATCAGGTACTCTATAGGGTCCCTGGTCCATTTCCTTGCAGAAAAGAATTTTCGTGATTTTTGAATGCTTTCTTGGTACTTACGAGTACATCAGCTTTCAACTTGTACATTTATAAATCCAGGTGTTTGACATATTTAGAAAACCTGATGTAATTAACAGTTGACTTGTGTAACTAGGGACATTCAGGAAATTCTGTTGCAATGCTCCAAATTACCATACAAACCACTGAACAATATAGTATGGTTGAAAGGATATGTTAAATGTATGTATCACAGAGAGTTTTATATGAATTCTGCACTTTTGTATTGTTAAACTTTTCAGAGCAGAGGAGGCATCAGATATTGCATCCAAGATGCTTGGTTCTAAACTTATCACTAAACAAGCTCCCATGGGTAGGATCTGCAATCAAGTCATGCTGTCAGAAAGACTGTACTCCAGGAGAGAGTTTTACTTTGCCATTGCCATGGAAAGGTCGTTTATGGTAAGGAAAGACATTTAGTATCCATGTGCCAGCATCTTCACATTAACTGTCTGTGATGAAGACAGACCCACATAATAAAAATGAAATAATGAAAAACAATATGTTTAGACATAGTCATGCATGTATTTTCTTCTTAGTTGGTTTTTTTGTGCCAAAATTGAGTTTGTTAGTATCCCATAGCTTACATCATTATATCTTTAATAGCATAAAGCCGAAGATCACCATATTAGGCCATTGAAAGCTGTGAAACTTTCTCATCAACTTTAGAATTGTAAACATTGATATTTATGTTTATTGTTATTTAGGTATCTTAATTAGAAAAAAATACATGTTTGAAGGCTATTTTAATGATCCTTGGATAATGCGTTACTAATGCTGTTTAAAAATATATGATATATTACATGAAAGAAAGCAACATGGATTTAACAAAGAGCTTTATGCAGTATATGCATATTTTTGCCCCCATAAAAGTCAAATTTTGAAAAACTCTTGAAATGTGGGGAATTATATATAATATTGTATGAAAAATCTGAATAAACAAAAAATATTATACTTTCGAAGTAGGTTATTGGAAATTTTTGTTTCACTGACATCATAAACTATTTGAATTTGGCATTATATTTCAGAAAGAGGATGAAATGGACAAAATTTGTTCAATTTTTACTATATAATTTATAGAGCGCAGGCCTGCTCCATAACAGTATTCACATATTTCATTGATATTATCTTGCTACGCATTATATCAAAACACTGAGTTGGAGCATTGACTTTTACACAAACTATCGATGTAATATACACCTTTTTCTCTATAGATCATGGAAATTTTGATTTTAAATAATTTTCATGACGTCATATCTAACATATTGCGTCATGGCTGATGAAAATATTTCATGCCTTGAAGTCTGCCAATATCCCGTGGTTTAGAACATAATTATAAATTTCTCCATCAAAGTTTGATATTTGGGGCAAATATTGGACATTACCAAATTTAGTCCTTAATTTCTCCCATAAATGTTCATGTTTACAGTTTCAGCATATTGTAATACAATGCATTACTTAATATTGGCTGAAACTAGACTTCAAGTATGCAGATTTGAAAAATGTGAAAAAAGGCTTTAAAATGCCAAAGATACCAGTAAAAATGAAACACTATAGCAGACCGGGACTGAAATCTGAATTATTATCCTATTCATACGATCTAGCCAATGGGCATTATGTGTTGCTTTAAGTAAACACCATTTATGAAGTTTATGTTTTGACCTACAGGGACCTGTCATGGTAGGAAGTTCACAAGGAGGAATGAGTATTGAGGATGTGGCACAGGAAAACCCCTCAGCCATCCTTAAAGAACCGGTGGACATATTTGCAGGATTAACGAGACAGCAAGCAGTCAGCATGGCCGGTGAATTGGGCTTCAGTCCAGCATGTATAGATCAGGTACTTTTCAAGTATTTTTAATACATATGAAAAGTATAGATGCTGTATAAAGGAGGGTTAACATTGTAAAAGAATTCAAAACGTTTCTTAATTTTTGTAAAAAATCTTGAAATTTACAATCTTATTTGAACCAGAACTCTCTCATGAGACTGCAGCTATACTGGTGTGTACTGATGCATCCTGGCATAGTCTTACTTTAGTCAGACTAAAACTGTTTGAGGAGTAGCATTTAAAAAAAATTCAAAGAAATTTCTATTTTTAGACAGGGCCACGTGACCCCGTCTTTTAGTTTACTGTCAGTTGAGGCCTCAAAAAGAAAGCTGTGCGGACATCACATGAATTAAATCTATGCTATTAAAATGAAAGAGTGCAGAAATTGATTTGATTAAAATACAAACACCCTGGATCAAACTAAAAAGAGTGAAATGAAGATTTTCTTACTCAAAGAAGCGTTTTGAAAATTTTAAATATGAAAAACATAATACTGAACCACTCTAGTATACAAATTACTCGGCTGCATAATACAAGGTTGTGTACACGTCATCAATTGTCTACTTTCAGAAATATCATATTAATTCAGACCCATTGAAATTCAGACAATTGAAAAAGGTTTCTTGACTAGTGATTACTGATTAATCTATTACAGTGTAAATGAAAAACATGAAGATATGTTTTTCACAGTGTTTTTATGCCCCGGGATCGAAAGATCCTGGGGGTATATTGTTTTTGTCCTGTCTGTCTCTTTGTCTGTTTATCTGTTTGTCTGTTGTCAACTTTAACCTTGCCCATAACTTTTGATTGGTTGGAGCTATAACTTTCATATTTCACATGTGTATTCCTTGTGACAAGACCTTTCTTTAGGTACCGTCATATTTGACCTTTGACCTTGATCTTGGAGTTTGACCCACTTTTGCAAAATTTTATGAGACTTTAACCTTGGCCATAACTTCTGAACAGTTGGTGCTTGGGGTTTCAAACTTCACATGTGTATTCTTTGTGACAAGGCCTTCCTTTGGATACCAACAACTTTGACCTTGACCTAGGAGTTTGACCTACTTTTGAAAAACTTTAACCTTGGCCCTAACTTTTGAACAGTTGGTGCTTGGGGTTTCAAACTTCACATGTGTATTTCTTGTGACAAGACCTTCCTCTGGATATCAAGCTCTTTGACCTTGACCTAGGAGTTTGACCTACTTTTGAAAAACTTTAACCTTGGCCGTAACTTTTGAATGGTTGATGCTAGGGCTTTCATACTTCACATATGTAATCCTTGTGACATCACCTTCCTTTGAATACCAACCACTTTGACCCTTTGACCTTGACATAGGAGTTTGACCTACTTTTGAAAAACTTTAACTTTGGCCATAATTTTTAAATGGTTGGTGCTAGGGCTTTCATACTTTACATATGTAATCCTTGTGACAAGACCTTCCTTTGGATGCCAACAACTTTGACCTTGACCTTGATGTTTTACTTACTTTTAAAAAACTTTAACCTTCACCATAACTTTTGAACAGTTGCAGCTAGGGCTTTCAAATTTTACATTTTTTATCTTTTGGCCTGGATTTTGACTTGCATTTGAGAAACTTTAACCTTCGCCATAAGCTGCCATACGGGGGCATCGGTGTTTCACAAACATATCTTGATTTTAATTTAAATTTTATGTTAATATTAAATTAAAAAAAACAGAAATTAAGTTGGTATCAAGGCCCTACAAAAAAATTTTCAACATGTAGTAATGAAATTTGTAAAATAATGAAGTTTATTATTTGACCCCATCTTGCAGTACTGTATCAGTACTTTGATTAGTAACCATGCCAGCACCGTTTGTCGAGTCAAAAACTGGAGGAGGAATAGCATTTTAAAAGAATTTAAGAGAAATTTCTATTTTTAGTAACCATGTCAACACTGTTAATTTAAATCAAAAATTGATATATAGAATTATGTATCTTAGTGCTACTTTAGGAAGAGTAGCATTTTGAAAAAAAAAAAAATTATAGATGGACAGACGACAGACACCTTACGGATACATGAGCTCTTCTGGTGTCTGACCAGTAAAGCTAACAATGGCACTGAACAGCGAAAAATCTTAAAAATAGACCTTGAATTTTAAAATTTCAGTTACAGTAATATATGATTTAATACAGAACTGACAGTTATTACCAATACTGTTTTTAATTCATTTTGAGGAAGAAGCAGTCTTCAACTAGAAGTAATCTTGTGAGAGCATATACTTGTATGGACATGCAGTACCTTTAATGGTCTTGCTTTGTGTTAAGATGAATTGTACTTTGTTTTTGTAGGCAGCAGATATATTTTTGACACTCTACCATGATATTTTCATCAAGTATGATGCAACTCTGATAGAAATTAATCCAATGTCAGAATCTAATGATGGCACAGGTAACTATCTAGTTCAAAATCAATGGTTGCACAAGTACATGTAACTGTTGTTACATTTTCAGGAATTACTGTGAAATCACTAATTTTTTTTGGGGGGGGGGGGTAATTTTCGTGGTTTTCGTAGTATGAAGAGACCCAGGAATTCATGTCCCCCACAAAATGTAAAATGTCAAATATTTGATACCTAAACACTATTTTAACCACAAAATTTAATCTCCATGAACCATTTATTTTTTGTCAAACTATGAAAATTTGACGCCATGAAAATATGATTTTAAAGTATGTCTTGAATCAGTCACAGTACTTAGTTTGTATACTCCATGTTACATCAATATGTTTTTTTCAAGCATGAGGTTGTAAAACTGTATAATGTTATAATCATTGCTGTGGTATTTACTGTAATGACTGATGCTTTATAATTTCAGTTTACTGCATGGACTGTAAAATCAACATAGATGACAACTCATCCTTTAGACAAAAACAGATTTTCCAACTCCGTGATTGGTCACAAGAAGACCCCCGGGAGCAGAGAGCAGCCCAGGCTGACCTAAATTACATTGGCTTGGATGGAAACATTGGTTGTCTAGTAAACGGGGCTGGACTTGCCATGGCCACTATGGACATTATCAAATTACATGGTGGAAGTCCAGCCAACTTCCTTGATGTGGGGGGTGGAGCTACAGCCAAACAAGTCATGGAGGCATTCAGACTCATTACATCAGATCCTAATGTAAGACTTACAAATAATTCACTGAATAGTCCAGATTGTTAATTGTTTAGAGGACTGTTCTGAACCCAAAACATCTCTTATCTTAAGATCAAGTACAGTCCTCATTAAAGGACTTTTATTATAAAAGTAAAAGTTTAGAATTTTTGTCATGAATTCATTCCTTCTGGTTATGATGGGAAAAAACAATGAAAAAAACCCCAAATTAGTGGCATTTTAATGCACTATTTAAAGGATTTCAGATTTGAATATGCATATTTTAAGAGAATCATGCCATGGTCTGTGACTTCAAATGTGCGACTCTTTGAAGGAGTAGTAGAAGAACTGTGACTTGGGGTGTTTTCATTACAATTTTTTTCACACTGGTTTGCTGAAATGTTGAAAAATTTTGTATTGATAATTATTTGATTGTAAATACTAAGTAATTATAAATCTAAATGTAACTGTATTGTGTTGTTCACATTTTTTGTCTTAAACACAGTATAGACTGAACTTGAAACAGTAAGACTTTATTTAGCTGTCAGATTAATCAAAGAAGGAAGGTACATTTCTTCTTTACTGTTGCTTACAAATATACAAGGGTGAAGCATTTGTGTCCTATGGATGTATTTGTATCTTTGTTTCATCGTTTATCCTTTTCATGGTACTGATATTTAAAAATAATATTTGTACCATTTATTTTTTTTGGATTTGGAGAAAAAGATAAAAATATCTTGTATTTTTTAGGTACAAGCAATTTTGGTAAATATTTTTGGAGGCATAATGCGCTGTGATATTATAGCTCAAGGCATCATTGCTGCTGCAGAGGAGCTTCATCTAAAAATACCAATCATGGTGCGACTTCAAGGTGAGGCATCTTTTAATTGAATTGGAAGGAATTCAATGAAATGTCCTTAATTATCTGTGTGCATTATACACGTGAATACTGTATACATGTACTCTCAGTGCTGAAACTTTGCAGAAATTATAAGTAAGATTAAGTTTCCTCAGAGTTTCAGAAGTGTTTCAGCAATGTGGAAACATTTTTTTTTTTTTTTCCATCCAGTGATTTATTTGAAAACAAATCTGCTAGCTTTTCATTCAAGTATTCTTCTGCATGTGCATAGTTTATTCCATTGACTTTAAAACGAAACAAAAACATGAACAACTTTTTATGAAACTTGACTGAAAAGAATTCAAACTTGTAATATTGTAATTACCGTATATGCTCGCCTGTAAGTTGGTTTTTTGGGAGATAAACTTTGGTCCAGAACTCTTTATCTGACTTATACGCGAGTTATAAAAAGATTGGTATTTTGGCAGATGGATCCCTCTAATTTAAGCTTAAAAAATACAACCGACTTATAGGCAGACCAGCTTATAGGCGAGTATATACGGTAGGCCTAATGTGTTTAAGTCCATGGAAATGTTTCAGTGTTTAACTGTTTATTCCTAGGAACAAAGGTAGAAGATGCCAAAGCACTGATGGCGGCCAGTGATTTAAAGATAATGGCTGATGATAACTTAGACGCTGCCGCTGCTACTGTAAGTGGGCTTGGTTGCAATAAGATAAGATATGTTTTATTACTAATTCAATGCCCATATGGGCATAAAATGAACAACCTTAACAAGGAAAAGGCCTAAAACATAGGTGAAAGAAAGAAAGGGAAAAATATACATGTAAAATTAAAGGAAAAGCCAAGCATAGAAAACGTGCTACCAATATACATGTATCAAATTTTGTGTTCTGGACAAACATAAACTGAACTTTAAAACTGATTTTAAGAGATAACACTATTCAAAAAGGAAATACATGTACCTGTATCATATAGCTTCAGAATGATCCTTTTAAAAATTAACATGTCCTTTATCTTGCAACACCTACTGTATATATTTATATACATGTACACATACAGTTTAGCGAGTTTGGTGATTCAGTATAAATAACAGTGTACTTGTAATGTATTTGAGCATACATTGAATTACATTAAATGCATTCTTTTTTCTAGGTGGTTCGACTGGCTAGGATCGTTGGTCTTGCAAAAGAAGCTAACATTGGTGTGAACTTTGAATTGCCCCTTTAGAATTACCTCGTTTCAGCTTTTTAAGTTGCTTTTATGTATGGGAGAAAACATGATTAATGAACTACTGATCCAAGATTTATATCTTACATGACACGTACACACAGGCTGGTAGGTGATGCGTGTAGAATTACATTTTGCTTGGAAACTGATATTTAAACAGTCATAATAAGTTTTGGTTGAAAGTTATAATAATACAGAATCTCTGCTTTCTGAAAGCATTATTTGAAATGTAAATTAGAATTTGTCATACAAATGAACAATATTTATGATTCACCTTAAATCATTTTGTCAAGATTTTTTTTTATCAAGTTTATTTAAAAAATAAAGACATGCAAACCAGGCTTAAATTGCAGTCTTTTGAATTAGAACACACCACTTGTTGCATGCTGCAGTCATTCTTCTGAAGTTAATGTGATCTCCAAAGAACTTCATAGGACATGTTTTTGTTATTTATTAATGTATGCAATGATTTATCTTGAAATGTGTTGCATATTTTATATGATAAGTTTATGTAATAATAAAATAACATAACTTTAAAGTTAGTTTTGATTATTTAATTTTTCGCTGGGCTTTGCTATAAGCCATGGCACAGGAAATTGTATGATTACACTCCTGCTAATGTTATTGTAAATTTAATTGAAGAAATGAGGTATCTCCGGACTCAATCAAAGGTGGACAAATTCGGCAGTAAACAGAACGTCATTAGATAGTCTGTTTCTTACAAGTACATGTACTATCAGTGAAAATGTGTGTCATCTTTGTCTACTACTCCATGTATGTTTGTCAGTAAAGAAAGTTTTATGCACTACAAATTAGAGGAAAAATGAAGCGAAGATACTGGAATAGGTTCTAAGAGAGTGTGTTACATATTGTATAGGGATGAAAGCTGAAACGTAATGTAACTTTTCTGTTTATCATGTATCCTCTTGCCCGACTGCAGACCCATAGCAGCTGCAATAATGTAGCCCTCCCCATGTTTTTCGTAAGATGTTTTCAGATGATCTGATGCCCCCCCCCCCCCATTAAGAAGGTGCCAGTAGCAATGTTTTTCAGAGGGCGCAACCTTCCGAATAAATTGACAAGCCAAAAAATCCCATATCCGAGGAGGTTTCTCTAAGTTTTGGATACATTTTTTTATATGTTGGAATTTGCCCATGTTCAACCGTACAACAACAAAAAATGTGGAGAGGGGGCAGCTTCCAAATAAAAAAAATTACGTAGGAAAAGTACATAAAAAACAATTCTCAAAAAGGGGGGGGGGGGACTTATCCAGTCTCATGGTTACTGGGAACTTCTTGGGTATTATAATTTGCTTCATAAACAGGGAAAAAGAAAAGGTTCCGAACACATGTAGGGGTTATTTAGATACATACGATGTACAATGCAACAAATGAAGATTTTGAAGAAAAAAAGGTTACCACAATAAAAAAAAATCTTTTGAGTGACCAGCAAAGAAAAAGGGTGACTTATTGTGAGTGTTGTGGGGATGGTGAGTAGGTGCTATAAGGTTTTGGCATTTTTATTTTCACCCTAGAGGCCCAAAGATGACATTTTCATACAAAAACCTGGTTCCAATATTAAGCAGCAACCAATACATCTAATAAGGTGCGTGGCGTCCTACAATAGATTTGATCTTGGATCCTAATTGGGGTCTAAAAAGACATTGAGACAAAGAAACTGTCCCCAAAACTCTATTTTAAATCTTACGAATCAGATTGGTGGTGTCCTCTAAATGGGTTTTGTGCATTTTCTTCCAGGTGCCGAAAATTTTAAACACAATTTGTGGGAAACTTTCTAAAATTCCCTTTTAAACAGAATTTATCCTTCATTGAATTAATTTCAGATTGACTAGATGCTGTCATAAGACAGTAATACGTAAGTGTTTGCCTCTAAATGTATGCTAGTTCCCCTGTTTCTGGATAGTAAGAAGCCACAAAAGTTATTCTATAACTTACATTAAATATGTATACATGTATGAAATTGAGCATAAAATGCACAGGTGAGCATATGACTATGAGCCTCTTATGTTCGTATTTCAAATACTAAATACATTACCCGTCTGAAACTTAAGATTGTGATGAAATAAATTCTGATTCTAAAAGAGGAAGTTTCAGAATTTTTTTTCTTAAAGAAAAGAAAGAGGAAAAATCGGCCCAAATTGGAACTTCAAATTTATCTACCCCCATTCGGCCCCTAGGGTGAAAATGAAAATTTTGAAATCTTATTGCACATCTGCAGGACACCTCCAACCATCTCGCAAAAGATAAAATGACTACTGCGTAAAATGTATGAAGAGTTCTGGGAAACACGTTTTTGTAAAATGAAAATTCCAAAACCTTATTTCACAACTACAGGACAAAAGATGAAATGTCTACTGTGTAAGATGTATGAGTTCTGGGAGCCAGGTTTTTAAATGGAAAAACGACGTTTTTTCGACTCCCGTTTGGCCCCCATTACAAAATTCCGTAACATTAATGAAAATCTACAGGGCACTACGTATTATCTTCCAAAAGATGATTTAGCTACTGTATTAAATATAAGAGAAGTTCTAGCTGGGAACCACATTTTGTAGAAAAAGTTGTTTTCGAACCCAATTTGGCCCACAAGACAAAAAAACAAAATTCTGAAACCCTATTGCGCATCTACAGGACACCGCGTATCGTCTTCCAAAAGAGGATTTGCTACTAAGTAAAATGTTAGAGGAGTTCTGGGAACCAGGTTTTGAGGAAAAACATCATTTTTTTACCCCGATTTCACCACCAGGATGAAAATGAAAACTTTGAAAGCTTATTGCATATCTAAATGACACCACCCACTATATTCCAAAAGATGAGCTTGTTACAGTTTAAAATAAAAGAGGAGCGAGGACGAAGAAAGTGTGAACGACAGACGGATCAGGATAACTACAGTATATCCGAACTTTCTTGAGAAAGTGCTGGTATAATAATGAATTTACTGGTATTATTCTATATGAAATACTAATGTAGGAGGCCCATGGACCACATGCTCACCTGTGCATTTCAATTATTTATAGTACAGAATTAACTGTTGTGGATTCTTCTCTAGTTATCCAGGCAAGAAGGAGAGTGCCTTCTGTACATCATAGATATGTAATATTCTTAAGTAAAAAAAATTAAGTGAAATAATTCCGTTAATGTTTGTTTTAATATACGGCCGTCACGGTAGCTCAGTCGCTAGAGCGCTCGATCCATGATCAGAAGGCCCTTGTGTTCAATTCACGGCCGCGACTGACTTAAGTCGATAAAAAATAGGTAGCAACTGTTCCTTTGCCAAGCGCTCGGCACTCTGAACTGAAAGTTGCTGGTCTTTCGGATGAGACCTTAAAAAACGAGGCCCCGTTTCACGATAGGCGTTGGCACAATAAAGATTCCCAACTGCTCAAAGGCCCTGAGTGCCGAGTAAAGTTCTAAATTTGAACCCCTTCACGTTATATGGTGAAAAAATGGTGAAACTCGAACGGGACGTAAAACAACATAAACCAATCAATCAATTAATACACGATTGCTTTATTTTTCAGCTAGTATTACACGAACGGAATATAAATACATGAAGACAATGTTCGTAGTGTACCTGTATTAATCTTTCATAATACCTTTATTCAAATAACTTGTAACGACGACAGACGTTGTAATAATCAACCATTTACTGAATTTACATGTTAAGGCATCCATAATTTTTTTTTTTTTTTTGAGAAGCAAGTATTCTATGTATACAATGCCTGAGAAAAACGTGTTGAACAGATAATGTAAACATTTTCGTTCGTTTGATGAATACAATAAAGAGTATTTTTTTAAAAGAACAGTGTTACAGATTTAGGATCATAACTCTGTTCTCGAGTTCTTAAAGCTATATATGGCGTATCTGAGCTTGAAAAATAATAATACGATATTGAGTGTAAATATACATGATTTATGTTACTTTACGTTCAAATTAAAGTTTTTGTCGATTTTGAGCTTGAATAACCTCACGTTCCTATAGTTAAATTGACTTTAAATTAAATTTGTCTGTTATTTAAATGTGGAGTCGGTAAATAAATCGGTTATTGCTATAAATTTTTAATATCTTTGAAACGCAATTGATTTAAATTGTGTCATTTGCAGGATATAAAGTAATAAAACAAATAGGAAGACCTTTTTTAATTTTGGTTACCTGAACTTCCATATAAAAAAAATACGCCATATATGACTTTAACAGGTCTGGAATGACTCCTCTGGAATTCACTTTACATCTTAGTGTTTCCAAGAAAAAAGAACTAAAGATCATCAAAGATGGAGTGTAACAGTGAGTACAGCTAAATTTCCATTCTTTGCGTGAAGTCTCTTATCTTGGAAAGATAAAGGATATATAAAGCTAAGAATTCACGCTTTTGGAACCGGAAGTAATTTGGAAGATGATTCGGTATGTAACGTTGGTGTTTTGTGTACCTCTCTGCCTTTCTTTGGATCTCTCTGAAGTTTTCCACAGAAATATAAAGGACGTTGAACATGAAGGTTTATATCCTTTTATTGATATCACTTTTCATGATACATATTTTGTTCTCTTTTATTTTCAAGGATATTAAGTTAGTTCAGGGTTAGAGTTAAGTGATAACAATTGTTAAGAATTCGGTGCCTGTTTTGTTCGTAAATGTTCTTAACTATACCTACTTATTGACTATATGTTAACTATGGATTTTTGATTCGAGTTTTACTTTATATTGAATTATCTTTCTTTTTCGAACTGAATAACATTCTGATGAAAATTCAACGAACAAGCATTTTAATAGTCTTAATTATGTATGAATCTGGTAGTTCAAAATTAGTTTCAATAAATAATTGGGTTTTTGAATATTTTACAGAATTCTCCAAAGTAATATGTACATCGTCATCCTCTTCCAAAAAATATGACATGCCCCTACATTTGAAGTGCAGTTTGACTTATCGTGGGGCGGAAATAAAACTGAGTCTTAATCGAAATCACCCAGATAGATATCACCTGCCTGTGTACTCAATGACAGACGGTAGCATTGTAGAGGAAATCACAGATGACCTTCAGACCAAGGTCAGTGAGCACTATCTTTAGTAATAATTCTAAATCAGCCATACACTTCTGATAACCTATTTCCAAAAGCTACACATACAACTCACGGGAGGTTACTATACAGGTTTATATATAGGCAATGACAAAAATTTTACACGAAGGGACATTAAAAAAAAAGAAAGAAAAAAGAAAAAAACATTTCTATTTTGTGGAATGGAATTGTTTACATGATTCAGGAATTATTGGTTATAAAACGTGACTGATGTTTTAAAATTAAAAAAAAAACCTAGAGATTCAATGAATGTTATGAAAATCTTCTTTTTTTTTTTGTAGTCCACATCTGTTGCCTTCTATCAGAACCATGACAATACAGCGACATTTAAAGTCGAAAGGATCATTAGCCAATCTTCCTCTTATTTCACGCTGGTGAGATTGTTTTTACTCTTGAATTTCTGTGATGTTTCATTTCATTTACTGATAAGTCAAATGCTGACTGACTTTTTTCATACTAATTGTTAGGCCATTATTTACACACTGAATTGTCGACAGATTTTTCCGTTATTTCCCGATCATGACAAGGCACCTGATCCCACCTCTGTTGTCTTAGAGGTCCATGTTTGCTCTGCTCCTATTTTGTAATGTTAAATGGACTTTTGAGCTCGAATACTGTTCGTTATCTCCACATATTTCATTTGAAATAAGAATGAAAAAGGAGAAGAATTGATAAAAAAAAAAAAACCCGGCCGCGAACAGGACATAAAACACGGACCCTCGGAAAATTCTAGAGGTGGAATTAGGTGTCTAGGAGGAGTAAGAATCCCCTGTCGACCGGTAACACCCGTCGTGAGCCCTATGTATTGGTCAGGTAGACGGAATATTCCGTAATCAGATTTTAAAGCAAAGTCCTAACAATTGTTATAAATATGTCAGTCAAAATACTGACTCAATGCTAGGGTATATTTGCTAACAAGCTAAGGTCATAAAGACCATAGAATTTACGAAATGCTGACTTAAAACGAGTTTTTTTGAAATCCCTGTGACATCAACTAATCTGTCGATAGCCTGCCTCGGTTTAAGAATTGATCGTTCTCAGAGCCTGCTCTTCAATACTAGTAAGTTGGGAGACAAACATCATGATTATGCAGGTGATAACGGTATACTGCTACATAAATAAGGAAAGCTGACGATTGAAAAATGAAGTCATCTCGTTCGTCATACAATTTAGTTGTTAGTTGGCATTTATCATTTATAATCAGTTAAACATCCAAATATAAAACAGATATGGCAGACTGAAATATCTTGAATTTCAAATTCACTGGGATATACCGGTATCGAGTCGGCATTAGCTGCAGAACAGTAGCTCTCTGGTAGAGAAAATTCAGACAAACAAACTAGAGAGCTACAGCTCCAAGCATTGTAAAAACCTTCGATTTACGCCGCCGCTTATTTGTCGCTCGCTTTGGGTATTATTTCTTGTATTAAAGGCGTTCCCCCGCCAAAAGCATGGTATCCGTCAATTAACCATATATTTTACTCATAATCTGACTCTATTTACAGTTCAACAGTTCTAAACAGTCTTTTATGGCCTTGGAATGTCAGTTTAAAAGTTTGCATTCCGACGTCCATGTTGGGGTCATGTTAAAAACACACTCGAGTTTATACCTATTTTTTTTCTTTATGATTGCATTCTTTTAAAGACAATATACATGTTATGTGACACCCCCCCCCCCCAAATTTTTACTTAGAATTCCTCGGCATGTGTATGTTCTTTGATAGACGTATTCTACGCGTATTTAAAGCGTCGGCGTAAAGGTTTTTACAATGCTTGGCTCTGTAGCTCTTTGGTTTGTCTGTCCGAATTTTCGCAACCAGAGAGGTACAGTTCTGCAGCTTAGTCGACATATGAATGGAATTAACTATTTTTAATAAAGAAGCACGATTAGTGCCCATCGAAGTTCCAACATTTGTTCCGAAACTTCATAAAAATCCTTACAAACAAAGATACTTAGCGGGTTACAGTAGTAAATGTTCTACCAAGCCTCTTTCTTTACGCCTTACTAATATATTAAAAGTAGTGAAGGAGAAACTTCAGGAGTACTGTGCAACAATATATTCGAGAAATGGTGTAAATCAGATGTGGGTACTTAAAAATACCAGGGAACTTTTGGAAAATTTGAAATCACAAAATTTTACCAAAATCAATAGCTTAAAAACTTACTATTTTTCAACTTTATATACAACCATTCCCCACGATAAATTAAAGTCCAGGCTCTTTGACATCATTGACAGCTGCTTTTTTAATAAAAATGGAACTCGTAAATATACTTACCTTGTCATTGGTCATTTGCAAAATTAATTTATTAAAAACATTCTGATTGTACACACAAGTACTCTGAAGTTAATATTAAAAAGATGCTTGAGTTTCTGATTGACAATATCTATGTGGTTTTTGGAAACCAGGTCTTTCAACAATGTATTGGAATTCCCATGGGTACCAATTGAGCCCCGATATTAGCAGACCTATTTTTGTATTCATATGAAGCAGAATGTGTTCAAAATCTTAAATGTGAAAATAAGAAAACACTTGCTGTGGCCTTCAACTCGACATTTAGATATATCGACGACGTATTGTCAATTAACAATCATGGTTATTTCCATTCTTATGTCGATACGATATATCCCGCTGAGCTTGAAATAAAAGATACCACAGAGTCTGACATATCTGTTTTATATCTGGATATTTTACTAGAAAAAGACATTAATGGTAATCTCACAACAAAGCTTTATGATAAACGTGATGACTTTAACTTTTCAATCGTCAACTTCCCTTACTTATACAGCAATATATCTTTTTCACCTGCATACGGAGTTTATATCTCTCAGTTGATTCGATACGCAAGAGCATGATCTACGTATGACCAATTTCTAAAACGAGGTAAATTATTGACAAACAAGTTGTTGAAACAAGAATATCAGCAGTCTCGTTTAAAGTCATCATTTCGTAAGTTCTATGGTCGATACATTAACCTTGTCAGCAAATACAATCTATCATTAAGTCAAAAGCTGACTGACGTTTTTCATACTAATTGTTAGGCCATTATTTACACAGTGAATTGTCGACGGATTTTTCCCTTATTTCCCGATCATGACAAGAAGCACACGGGGGATGTGACCAGTCGGCAGTGGATGCTCACTCCTCCATGGCACCTGATCCCACCTCTGATGTTTTAGAGGCCCTTGTTTGCTCTGCTTCAAAATTTGCTTTAACTTCTTCAAATAGTCTATTCAAAAATATCAAGGGAACCAAATAAATTTAGTGCGAATGTAATGAAGACTTTATTTTTTGTTGACGTAAGGTAAAAGTTAATCAAAAGAGACATCATGTATATCTGGTCTATAGTATGATCGATGTCCATAACTACTTTACTTTTACGAATTTTGTTAAAAAGTCCCATCACATTCACACTGGCACATTGTGAGCTTGAAAAATTCCCTACATTATTTATGTGGTTGTTGCAACCATTCGGAAATTCTTCTTGTTGTCTACGGAATGGAGTACATAAAGTGGGACTGTTAGTTGTATGATATATTCTTTCTAAAATTCTGATCTTCACTGTAAGGAAAGAGTGGTCAGGCGAATTGAAATGTTTATAAAGATGTTAATGGCCCCAAAACAATTGTTCGACTGTAAAACTGTGGATAGTGCCTACACATGGATGTGTATTTCAACGACAATCTCTTACAGACAGGTTACATGTTTAGAGAAATGAGTCACGTAATAATTCACCCTGTCCCTGGACAAACTGAGCATAGAATTGCATTGTCACGCCATGACGAAGCGAAGTTTGACGTTGGGGGTAAAGCACCTTTTATTTTCTATAAAAAATTATGTTATAAAATTTGACCATATATTATCACAAGTATAAGATTTTTAAGCAATGTGGATAGACAGAGACAGTTTAGACTAGTTTAGCAAAGATTCTACATTAATGCTTTCGATTCCATTATCTAATAATGTAAAGAAATTATTTTTCCCCATTGATATGTATTTTTGGTACAAATGACCATAACACGCATCAAAGAAAAAATCTTCAAATAGACTACATTTCTTCAAAAAGAGCACTTGAAGAAACCTCAACCCGGAACAGGTGAGAGAGCAGCACCACATGACACGACCACCGCACGACTCGGTAAGAGGGCAACATCACATGACACCACCAACCCACAGCTCAATATGGCAGAGATTCTTGTCTTTGTGGATTACAAGTTTTACAGCAAGTAAAGCACCGCCATTGATTCCCATTAAAATTTTCTCAGTGTGACGCTACCGGCATTTTAAAAAAATGTTGATTGCTCAATATTTATTGATGGAAATGCAAGCATATAATGTCTTGAAAATGTTAACTCTATATTTTACTGTAAACCTAGAAACTTTAAAGGATTTGTTTTACCAAACCTTCCACAGGGGATCATCTTTACAATAATAAGAAAAATAGATTGATCATATCTAAAAAATTGTGTAGTTTAATGATTGAAGAACATTTAGAAAAGGAATGTATGTCATACTAAATAGAAAGTGAATTGATTAGGCAATGCAGGAAAAGTACAACAAATGAAAGCTCTTAACATTAACAAGAGTAAGAATTTTCGAAATATCTGAGTAGAAATGTGAAGAAAGGACAAAAAATAACATAGACAAGGTGAGTAGAGATAACCCCAGCAAAAACCACGATAAAAGGGAGGATATTTCAATATTAGTTATCAAATGCAATTGTATAATATATGAATTGAAATTGAATTAACATTTTTTAGTTTTTACATTCCTCTTCAGTTTGGTTGTTAACGAGACTGCTTTCACGCACGCAACTTCCTCTGGTGTGGCCACTTTCCTGAGCGAGTACATCGCACTCATTTTTGACAGTGTATGCTGAGTTTTTTTCCTCTTTTTTTTCTTTACATAGTTTCATTTTTATTGCAACATTTTATATGATTCAAGAATGCGCATATTCTATGAATAAAGTTTTCTGCATCCATTGTAGACTAACATTCCGTACAGAAATCTCGTTAAAAGTGGACTGAACTTTCTCCTAAAGCCTGTGGGAGTAATAGTAGCCAAGGTAACCAACTCTTGTCACAAATACCCCCTAAAGCAAAAACAACAACAACAACAACAACAACAAAACAGCAACAAAAAAAAAAAACAAACAAACAAACAAACAAAAAACAAACAAACAAAAAATTAAAACAAAAACCAATTCGTAAATAATATTTTCCAGATGATAAAGATTAACTTTATAATTTAGTATAAAAACTACATCATTTTCATTATAGAAGAAAAAAGCCGAGAGAGTGTAAACGTTGCAATTTTTTATACTTTGATTTGAACATATTTTATTGTAATTTCTAATAACAAAGGGACTGGGCACAATTTCTCAAATACTTATTACGCCCTCTCCCTAATACTTATACTTGCAGACAAAATTGGCATCGCCATGGACAGAAAAGAATTTGATGACATCAACACCTTTTCCTAATATGGTCAATGCATCACTTGCTTTAGACAGTTTCCATGACTACATTGTCAAACACAATGCTCTCCCTCCTCACGACCACGCCATGCTTTTGACGGGGTAACTTTTCCCCGATATAATGTCTTAACCAAAAAAAGAAATCAGGTTAAAAGGTCACAAAGCTCACCAGGTATCACATTATTTATGTGGCTAAATGAAAAAAAAATATCAATATATTCCTATACATGCATGTCAAGAAAAAGATTTATTTTTAAAGAATCCTCCATATAGACAACAATTTTTAACTTTGACCTTTTATTGTGAAACTATTACAGTATCGGGGTCATGTTTGAATATCCTTCAATCTCCACCACAAAAACATATGTTTATAAATTAGAAATTCTAGTCCCGCTATTTTTTTTTAGACCCTGGAGTTCTTCAATTACGCAATACAATCTACGGACGTTTTTCTCATATCTAGTATATATTTTATAGCTATCAATCATAAAAAAGTTTGAATCCTGGACACCGTATTATCTTAGTTGTTTGATTAAGTGCATTTTTTCTTAATATATTTTTTTTTCTTGCGTATCGTTTCTGTGTCCTTCAGGTGAGGACTTATTGTCTTGAAAATTTGTCGATCCGTGTTGTTGGCCAGTTTCAGTAGATATATAATGCTCCTTGATGACGTTTTGTTTCTTGTATGTGTTACGTAAACTTCCACGAAATCAATATTGGAGAGATAACAAATCCACAGAAAAAAATGGCAAAAAAGTGTACGATAATTGCTAACTTCTAAAAGCTCCATCTAATTTTTGTATAAAATAAGCAAGGTTGACTGGTTTATAATTCCCCTTTCTATTCTTATTTTTATTTTTAGTAAAGGTACTTACACAGTGTACTTTTCACAGTATATTAATTTTCGTTACAAGTTGTACTTCATTTAAATCAAGGTAAACCTTAATCTGAAAAAGCCCATTCATTACAATACAATATTTTTTCCTTAGATATGAAATGAAGGACAGCACCATTGAGAAGAATAATTACACAGATATATTAGGTAAGTTATCCAACACACTAAATAAAAATAATATCATAGATACATGTATATTAGGAAAGTTATCCAATATCACTTACGAAAAATAATTACACAGATATATTAGGTGAGTTATCCAATATAATAAAGAAAAATAATTACACAGATATATTAGGTTAGTCATCAAATACACTTAAGAAAAATAATTACACAGATATATTAGGTGAGTTATCCAAAATAATGAAGAAAAATAATTACACAGATATATTAGGTGAGTTATCAAATACACTTAAGAAAAATAATTACACAGATATATTAGGTGAGTTATCAAATACACCTTAAAAAAAAATAAATACATGGATATATTAGGTGAGTTATCAAATATACTAAAGAAAATAATTAAACAGACATATTAAGTATGTTATCCAATAAACTAAAAGAAAAATAATAAAATAAAAAAGAGGAATTTGGTGAGAGAAAATTTAATTACAATCACTTGTGATAAAAATCGACATTTCGTGTGGTTTGTATATTGGAGTTTTTCAGCTTTTCTGATCTGGCAAAACTGAACTCTCATATGTGTATAAAACTTAATTTTTCTTTTTCTCAATCCAGACTACTACTTATTGAGTAAATATATACCGACTGACTAAAACAAAAGTTGTAAAAAAAATTTGACATGATATTTTTACATTCTTTGAATATCTTCTCCTTTACTTGTTATGAAAACTCTTTGCCGCTATCAATGCATTAACAAAAAAACTAGTTAAAACCGATATTTAAAGCCATCTGTTTGAAAGATTTTTCAAGAAATGGGCCCTTCCATTGATGTAAGGTATGGACTATAATACAATATTTCACCAACTGTAAACAAGTATTTTTTACAGATATAAATATATACAATAAAATGTCTTTGTTTGTTAATGCATGGATAATGGTTGCAATCATTGCAGAAAAAATTACATATCCTGCCTATGCGGGTTATGTATTTTTCTGTAATGTCGCAATTGTTATCCCTGCATTAACAAACACAGAAAACAATTTATTATTTAAATCAACAAGTAAAATTCCATCTCTATAAAGGAGAAATAATAGAAAAGTAATATGACAAACTAACAAGAGGCCCAAGGGCCTTAATCGTCACCTGAGTATAATGCAACACTGTAAAGGATCCACAGAAGTATAAAATAAAACAAAACAAGCAAATTCAAAGAACTGTGCCCCCGCATCGGTGTTTTAGTGGATTGGTACGATTATTTTATAACATATTTTAACCTCTTGTTTTTGTGTCCTTCAAACTTATAGGTTCTTACTAAAGTAAAATAAGAAAGACTGTAGATTAACAAAAAGGTCAAGGTCACGAGGTCAAAGACCAGAGTATAATCGGAAAGGTTTTGAAACAGATAATGCACATGACATATAAATGCCTTATCTTCAGGAACTTCTTGAGACAGGTGATGCACTTGTCACATATGAACGCCCTATCTTCTGTCATCCAAAAGTTATTACCAATGTGAAAAATTTTAAAAAACACGTCAAACTGTAAGGTCAAGATCACTGGATCAAACTTCATGGTACATGAATAGGTGGACAGACTGGCAGACAATCTTATTAAAATCAGATCTTTGTTACGCTCCGAAATTCTGATGGTCGCTGTACAAAGATCTGAAGACATCCCAGATCTTTGAACAGCGACCATCAGAATTTCGGAGCGTAACAAAGATCTGATTTTAATCAGATTGGACTGACAAACGAATTAGTTTTAATGTCCCCCCGCTTTCGTGAAAGCGGGGAACAATAAACTGATAGCTATGTTGCCCAAATCAAGAGAAATGGGATGATCAAGGATCAAGAAAATAATTATTCTAGTACTCCGTAACAAATCTTTACTTGCCTTTACTTGCTGCCGTTTTTCACTATCTCCATGCAGACTAAACAAAACTTGTTTGAGCACTATTAGTAAACCCAACTCTTTCCCTCTTACACTGGCCTCTCTAGGTCTTTGATTGATTGATTGTATGTTGTTTTACGTCCCGTTCGAGAATTTTTTCACTCATATAGAGACGTCACCATTTACCAATGAAGGGCTTCAAATTTAGACCTTTACTCAGTACTCATGGCCATTGAGCATTGAGGGTTCTTTATCATGCCAACGCCTACCGTGAAACGGGGCCTCGGTTTTTAAGGTCTCATCCGAAAGACCCGCAACTTTCACTTCAAAGTGCCCAGCGCTTGGCGAAGGAACAGTTGCTACCTATTTTTTATCGACTTAAGTCAGTCGCGGCCGTGATTCGAACACACGACCTTCCGATCACGGAGCGAGCGAGCGCTCTACTGACTGAGCACCTCACCCCAAAACACAGGAATGCCTGACTTTGGGGAACAAATTTCACAATTTTGGTAGAGGCACCCTTTCTCATCATAACCATGCACCACGCTTATCTGCTAAATATACAGGGGTAAAGAAAAATTTAAAGAATTTACGCATTTTTACTATATGATCATTAGAGCCCGTCCTAACTCCAGAACCCCTGACCCTGAGGCCGTGAATTTCACAATTTGAGTAGAGGGCTCATTGCTTATTACAATCATGCCAACACTGACTGCTTGATGCCCAGGAGTAAAGAAGAAGGTATTTAAAGAAAGCACTAATTTTGATGGTTTTAGCCTCATCCCTCAGGGACCGTGAAATTAATAAATTTTGTACCCCTTTACCCAAATGCCAAAATTGATTGAAATTGGTTAAGTGATTCGAGAGAAAAAGCTGAAAATGTACAAAAGTTTACGAACGACGGACGACGCACATCGCACGACGACTTACAAAAACAGATAGCACTTGAGTGACTCAGGTGATCTAAAAATCCATAATAATGAAGTCTTTACAAAAGTTAGCCAAAGAGAAGGTCAGTTTTACGAGTTCAATATGGCATCCTGTTCAAATTCATATTGTTAATAGTAAATAAGTTTGACATGATATTAATACGTAAGATTCATTTCCAATATGAGAAAAATGACAAACTAAAAACCAACAATAATGAAGTGTTTGCAAAAGCTAGCCAGATAAAAAGTCAATTTCATGAGTTGTTTGAATAAATTTCTATTTTGATTATTATTGACAAGTTCACAATACCTTTGATTGTTTTTGAAATTTGTTTTTCAGGTATGGCATCTCTATCAGCGATGTGTGGATCATACTCTCAATCTGTCGTGTCATCCCAAGTAGATTTTTCACCAGCCTTTACCATTGCGCATGAAGTTGGGCACAGGTGATGGAGATTCCGAGCAAAAACTTAATTTTTTTTTAAATCATGACATTTTCAAAGACAACATATGAGTTTTACTGGTTTTTATTTTCTTTAGTCTAGGGTCAAAACATGACGGACAGAATAATACATGCCCTAACGATGGTCACGTGATGAACTCCACTCAAGCCAGAAACACATCGCTTGTTTGGGAATTTTCGTCGTGTTCCATAACCTACTTTAAGACTTACCTCAATGAACTAGACAGGTATTCCAAAACTAACAGAATTAGACAGATAGTCCAACATAAAGATCATTAAAGTATCCATTGAGTAGATTGAGTATGGTTTGATTATTTTTCCTTCCTGTAAAATTAATCTGCTATGTAGAACGTTATATTGACCTGCACGTGACCTTATACTATACGTGGATGCTTTTTTCTGCATGAAGTAGCATGCAAGTAGTAAATGAATAGCTTACTACATTTAGATTTATTTACATCTTCAATGAAGCTACAAAGCATGCGACACATACGTGCCTTGGAACATCCTAGTTTTGTAATATAGCGCAACTCAGGTTATATGAAATCGATTTACAGAACGAATTTCTACATGTTTGTCGCCCTTTTTAATCATTCTATTTTGCTTTGCAGATGGATGTAGAGATTGACAATACAGTTAAAGTTTATGATGAGATGTGTCTTTTATTAATTTTAAATCTGCAGTTGAAAATGATAACATGACAAATGTAAACATTTTCAACTTCAGATTGAAAATTAATAAAGGACACGTGTATCAAACGTAAAGGGTAAAATGGGCCATAATTCACAAGGAACAATTAATATTCAAAAATATACTCAAATACAAAACAAACCAGCTTATAAAATATCAATAGACCCAATATGATGACCAACAAATCACCTCTTTCTTTTCAATTTAAAGGCAACTTATCTAGATGTTCTCCTAGTTGATTGTATTTTATTATATCATTGTATTGGACTGTTTACGGGGGTCCTTATTTTCGAGGGAGGGGGGGGGTCCAAAGTAATTCTTTTGGTTACTTTACTATATAGATTTATAACTCTGAGAATTCCAGGAAAGTCGAATTTTTACAATTGTATCCAAAACGGTGAGAGTTGCAAGTCTTCTCTAAAATTATATCATCCTCAATTTAAATTGAGTTTTCTTTCAGAACTCACAATTGTCTGGTAACTCAGGAAAACCATGCTACTAACCACAAACTGACCATACATGAACATGAGTGGTTTGGTCAGATTTATTCCGCAGATCAGCAATGCCAACTCTTCCTAGGTTCAGATTCATTTATGGAAAGGGTAAAACGTGAAATTCTTTTTAATGCCCCCGTAATCGAAGATTCGGGGGCATATAGTTTTTGCCATGTCCGTCTGTCTGTGTGCTTGTCCACAAAAACTTCAACCTTGCTCTTAACTTTTGATTGGTTAGAGCTATGGCTTTCATATTTCACTTGCGTATTCCTTGTGATAAGACCCTTCTATGGGTATCATCAAATTTGACATTTTGACCTCGACCTTGTAGTTTGACCCACATTTGCTAAATTTTATTGGACTTTAACCTTGGCAAAAACTTTTGTACATTTGGTGCTAGGGCTTTCGAACTTCACATGTGCATTCCTTGTGACAAAACCTTCCTTTGGATACCAATGACTTTGACTGTTTAACCTTGACCTTGGAGTTTGACCTACTTTGGAAAAAACTTTAACCTTGGCCGTAACTTTTGAACAGATGGTGCTAGGGCATTTATATTTCACACGTATATTCCTTGTGACAAGAGCTTCCTATGGATACCAATAACTTTGATCCTTGACCTTGGAGTTTGACCTACTTTTGAAAAACTTTAATCTTGGCCATAACATTTGAACAATTGGTGCTAGGGCTTTCATACTTCACATGTATATTCCTTGTGACAAGACATTCTCATGGATACCAACAACTTTGCCCTTGCTTTATTACTTTTTTATAATAATACTCTCAATTTTGTCCCATTGACCTTGACCTTTGAGTTTCACCTCCTTTTGAAAAACTTTAACCTTGGCCATAACACTTGAACATTTGGTTCTAGGGCTTTCATATTTCTCGTAAATGTGTATCACTTGTGACAAGACCTTCTGTTGGACACCATTTGTCCTTGACCTTGATGTTTTACTTACTTTTGAAAAATTTTAACCTTCGCCATAACTTCTCAACAGTTGTTGTTAAGGCTTTCACATTTCACAGGTATATTCATCGAGAGAAGACCTTTCTTTGGGTTTCAACATTTTTGATCTTTTGACCCGGAGTTTGACTTGCATTTGAGAAACTTTAACCTTCGCTATAAGCTGCCATATGGGGGCATCAGTGTTTCGCAAACACATCTTGTATATGTTAGCATTTAGAGAAGCTGCTAGTTCGATTACATGTAACAACATGGTACAAGATGTACAAATTGATGCTAAAATTTTCTTGCATTTGCTTCTTCGAATAGTTATTAGCATCTCAAATGTCGCTTGGAAAACATTTCGCAGATAAATTCTGTAGGCGATCAGGTTTTCCCTGTTTAATTGCAAAAGTTATGATTTTTATAACTGCTAGTTATATTTTAAAAGTAATGGAGAATGTGATTTAGCCTTTTTTTTTTTTTGAAAGGATATCTAAATTGCCAACACTTAGTTACCGCAATAGCATTTACTTCATTGGGAAAAAAAGTTAAATGTAAACAATTTAGAGTCCTAAAAATTAAGCTCATTCAATAACAGTGAGCACTAAAAGTATAGGTATTAATATTATTGAATATACAATTGACAAACTTATCCAATTGCAGTCAGCTGCAGATATGTTTGTTTAAAGAATAGTAGAATTTCATTGAAAATCGACTTTAATTAGGCGTTGATACGGTTAAGCTCGTATCAAACTGATTGATGTCCGCTTTATTTTGCAACAGAACCTATATTTCAGCGTTGGAAAAAAACGGGAAAAAGTCTCCAAAACAAATCAATGCATAAAGTGTATCTATCCATGAACAGGCTAAGCTTACATTTCTATTTATCAACAATGTCCGAAAGTACAATCTATCAGTTAAAATCTTAGAAACATATTTAAAAATCTATAAATAGAATTATTATTATTATTTTTTTTTAATTATTATTATAATTTGCTTATGATAAAACTATGTTGTATTTCAGGACGAATATAACTACACTGGGGCCTACCAGACAGCGTTCTGTCTACAGATGGTGTGTTTTGATCCTTGGGATGACGATTTCAACAGATATGCTGTACCGGGAGATGGGACAACTTGTGGCCATCAAAAGGTGATGGAAAACTGAAGGGCCACATATAAATCCTATGAATATGATTGCTCGTCATTTCAAGTAAATATTTAATGCATAAAAGTTTAGTTATTGTGTTCCAAGTCTTCGTTTGATTGTAAGCCATCTTAATTCCAAAGAACAAAGGTATGATTCATCTAAGAAAAAGTCTTATTTTTTGAAATATGAGGATGCATTTCCATCGGAGCTTGTGATTTATCATGTGCTGAATGTATATATTTGCATTCTAAACACTTATAGAAATATTTCTCATACCAACAAGAACTCAATCATCATGCATTAATAATAAAAGAAAGAAACGCGAGTAATACAGCGTGCATGGGCACATCTAAAGGATTTACTATCTTATCATTATTAAATGTAAAAATGAAAAAAAAAAAAACTATCAAAAATCGGTTCTTCGCTATTTTTTTGAAAACTTATTAAAATGTTTCATTTTTACGTCAAACCATTTTTGTTCTTGTAGAAAAGATTTTTATATTTATGTAGAAAAGATTTTTTGTATTAATATGTTTTAAAGAATAAAGGTTGTTTTGTCGAAATATTACATATTTTGCATATTTACGCTGTGATTTCGTCTTTGATGAACATTGTTAGATCTGGAGAGTACAAATGTCAAACTATGAAGAGCTTTGAAGCTTTCGCTGATTATCATACCTGCTTTCTTTAATATATTTCAGTGGTGCATGGCAGGGAAATGTGTTCATCAACCAACTTTGACTCACAGCACTGGTATTCTCTCTCTCTCTCTCGTAACCAAAATTTATATCGATTATTATTGAAACATTTATTATAGCAGTCACATGAGTTATTTTTTCATCACAAGTGTTACAATTATTTGCTTTTTTATGCATTAAATTGTTACTAACAGATACAGACATGACCTGTAGATTTGTGTTATAAAGTCAATTGATTTTTTTTTTAAAGAATATTTTTTCTCAAATTTTAAGGCATATCTGAAGAAAACCAGACAAAAATATATTTATAAATATATTTTGATTTTATAACAAAAACTAACATACATGTATTCATAAGGTGCATATTTGTATTATAATTGGTGTATTGAAATCTAAATAATATATATATATATATATATATATATATATATATATATATATATATATATATATATATATATATATATATATATATATATATATATATATATATAGATACCTGTCCTCAAGGAGATATTCCTGGTCGTTGGCTTAGAGTGGATTACCTCGAGGAAGATAAGATACTGCATACATTCAACTTCACCTCTTCTTGCAAGGCATATGTACAAAACAGACCAGAAGAGTGCTACATTCCGAAGTTGAAATATTCGTGTTGTCAGAGCTGCAGCAACATGCCTTTATATTCGAATGGTAAGTCTTAAGAGTACTGGGTATTTCTAAAATAACATCAAATTATACATGTTATACAGTATACCATATAAACCATGCTTAATGGAATCCAATAGAAATATTAAATACACACAATCTGAGAAAGAGAGAGAGAGAGAGAGAGAGAGAGAGAGAGAGAGAGAGAGAGCAAAATACGACAGTAAATTTTGGTTCAAATTTTGAAAGTTTAATTATAAATAATAAAATTATAATTATAATATAATTAAGAAGGTATTGTGTTCCACTGGGTGATTTTCCCCATGTTCGATTGATTCTAAATATCTAATTTTCTAAAGTGAATAACCATATTGTAACAAGAGAATTTTTATTGGAAGACTATGTAATAGACAATAGTGACAATACAGTATATCTTTAGTACTGTTGGTATTTTAAGGCGTCCTCCCCGCTTCTGTGTATACTTCTGTTCTCCCAGAAGACTCGCAGTGTAAGCAGACATTTGGCAGCAACTCCTACTTCTGTGGAGTAAGTTTTGTCATTCATGAGGATATTTCATTTCCATAGGATGTACATGAATAATAATTATACCTGTAGAATTGTATACATTTAAGGAAAAAATTAAATATTTAGATATTTTAAAGAGAAATTTTAAGAAATTAATATGAAAAATTTTATTGTTAGAAGATAAATACGTTGTCCTAGAAATTTATTCTAAGGCTGTGTTGGAGAATATTGTAAATTCACTCCCTTTTTACGACAGAGAAAGGTTTACGCTGACAACGAAACATATGATTTCTGTAGTGCACTAAGATGCTACCTTCCTCAAGACGATCTTTGTCATTCTATAGTGGCACAGGACGGTACAAGGTGCTCCTTCAATAAAGTAAGTCACAGAAAATTAGTACGTCATATGGGGTACCTGAATATGGTACAAAGTACTTCTTTGATAAGGAAATCACAGGAGGTAAGCACTGCATCACATCGAGGATCAGAACGATATACTTTACAACAAGAATTATATTATCATTACCTATTGTAGCACAAGCTTTGATGAATTTATTTTTTCTTTATCTTTTTTTTTGCTACTTGTTCGTCCTTTTCCTCATCTCTCAATGACATCTAACCGTGATATTTTCCGAAAATTGTACTAATTAACTAAATCAGCCATTTGGATTGCATATTTTAGGATTTATTATGTATATGCTTTCTGTGTATAAATAAAACTTGAATACATTGATAAGTATGCGTATTATCATATGATTCTCTAAAATTATAGTGGTGTGTTGCCGGTGCCTGTGTGGACGACCCTAGAGCATTGCTTCCACTAGGTATTTGGGGGGGGGGGGGTTAAAATGATTTAAATTCGGTTGAATAGTACTTAAAAGTAAGATTTTTGAACTATTAAATGCTATGGATGTTTACATTTCTTCCAATAGATTACAGTATGATACCAAGTCCCCAGGAGCAATGCCAAGTCTCATATGGTTCTGATGCCAAATTCTGCGCGGTACGTAAACATTTAACAGAACTATCCCTTTCCGGACCATATAAGAATACACTTGAAAAAATGATGCTATACAACAATCAATAAAAAAGCAAAGCAAGAAAAGTCGCACAACTTTGTGTATCAATATCCCTTTCTCTTGGTCATAATCTTTACTGTGTCATTCTTTGACACCTCTGAGCCTTTTTGAATTTCAACAATTATTGGTGCTTGGCATCTGTGGGCAAAAACAAGCAATTAATTCCAAAATATCATTGCTGATATCAAACGCAAAAATGTCTGAGTTTTTTTAAATCCTAGACTCAGTTCTAGCTGCCATATTGTTACGATGTACTTCGTATAATTTTTATAAAATTAATACCCCTTGGGTAGGAGGTTCAGGTCCTAGAGTCAAGTAATTGATTAGATGATTTGATTTGTTGGTATTTCAAAATAGTTGACATACCCTTGGATGTCTGTCGACCACTGATATATAAATCCTTATGAATAATAGAACCCTTATACCAATTTACGAACCGGTTCCTTGTGATTATTTCAGGTTACAAGGCATAGTTAATCTAATTATAAAACTAATATTTATTAATTAAATCTTAAAACATTACGTTGAAGAAATTGTATATAAATCCACTAACAATATTCAACATAATGCTGAGAGTTTAATGCAATTACTTGACAAAACAGATCATTGATCCAACTATGATTTGTTAATAACATCGAAAAAGAAGTAGTTGGAGAGAAATGTGAATCTCAATCTTTCTCTCTCTCTCTCTCTCTCTCGGACCGAGATACTAAAGTTGCTTAATGTCTCGTTTCCATCCTGATTGCAAGTGCATATTTGGGTAAATATGGTTTCTTTTGCAGAGAACAGATACATATGAAAATAGTTATCATGACATATGCCAGAAGCTGTATTGCATCCTACCAGAACAAAAACTTTGCAATCCCATTTTTGCCCTTGATGGAACTCCTTGTGGTCGCAAAATGGTAGGCACGTAATTGAACTTACTGAGTATTCTGCATAATGAAAAAGAATTGCTTTAAAATAATATTTTTTAATTTCTTGCCTCTCACTTGATCAAATTGTTAACAAACTTTTGAAAACTAACAAATAAGATAATTCAGTTAAAAATTGTCAATTATCCTGTTCGCTCAAAGTGTACTCATTGACAGATACGACCAGACAGTTGTGGTGGCATTTTTGTCGATATTCCTGGACCACATTGTAAACATTCATATTTATTTAGTTTTTATGTTTTTGTTTAGTTTTTAAGACATCTTTTTTATGTTTCTGATACTTTGATTTATGTTTCCTTGCTTGATCTTTTTTTTTCAAGATTCAATATAAATATTCAAAAAGGTTGACCTCAAGTCAATTCAAGTTGTATGCAAATTTATACATTTGTATTTTTCACTTTTTGGTTTTAGTTTTTTTCACTGAAACACCTATAAGTCTATCCATGCCCATACTTTTACCTTGGGTCAAGTTTCATATTATACATACACAATGCAAACTTTATGGTTAAAAATATTTTATATTCTTTTTACGCATCGTTTTTATAATCGGATGGATGTTTTTTTTTTTAAAAAAAAAAGAAATGCCGTTCAGGTCCAGATCAACTATCTGTCCGGTTAAACCTGGGTAAAAAGTACAATAAAAAGCAACGTTTGGAGAACGTTATGCAAGACCTACCCCAGCGAGCTCTGTAGACTTCCGACAATACTTTTTGTATCTATCATACCCATATTGTATGATATAGAATAATTTTGTTTAATGTAGATTTGCAGGGAGGGATCGTGTATTCATAGTGAGCATGGACTGGATCTTCCTGGTAAGAATTTAAGGGAATTTGTTATGTATTAATGTTTGTTTTTCCGTGAAGACCAGTTGTAATTAAAACTGGCATTGACAAACTTTCCCTTTACCGGATGCAATTTCAGAAATTTTTATTATTATCTTTAAAATAGACAACTGCCTATACGTAGACAAGAGTACTTGGTGCCCACAAAATATTGTTGGGCCCGATACGGCGTACAAATGTTCGTTCGGACACAACGCAGATATCTGTTGTTTTACCTGTCAAAAGTACGCCAACATGTCTATGCCAGGTGAGCATATGTAAAGAAGTGAAGTTTAATGCCCTTTTCACATGGAGAATGTAATTCGAATTAAACGTAAGTTACTGGAATTAAATTTGAACCGCGTTTACACGTGGGATTAAATGCGAATTAGTTTTACTGCGCATTAAATTACTTCGCATTAGCTCTGCGTGAACGCTAAGCGAAGCAAATTCGAATTAAAGTTTGACTCATGGGTAATGGCAAAATGAAGTCACATCCCACATGTCGGTAGTCAGATATAGGTACTGATGCTATTTTTAGTGAAAAACAAAGGAACATTATGTTAATCATTGAAATGTTTACAGACTCTATGACATTTTGTCAAATGGATCTGCTCTGCACAATGTGACGTGATTTGCAAATGACGACATAATAGCATTACTGAATAGCCTTACTGTGGAAATGAAATTCCAATTTGCATTAGTTTACTTCGCATTGACTGTCATGCGAACGCAATTTAATTCGCATTAGTTTAATTCGAATTATTTTACTGCGAATTAAACTCTTCGTGTGAACAGGGCATAAAATAATGCGAATTAAATTAATGCGAATTAAATTGCGTTCACACGACAGTCAATGCAAAGTAAACTAATGCGAATTAAAATTTTATTTCTATACAGTAAGGCTATGTGACGTCATTTGCGAATCACGTCACCGTATGTACATGCAGCAGGATATCACAGTGTCTGTACAGATGTTTAGTGAAAAACTTAATTTTCCTTTGTTTTTCACTCAAAAATAGCATCAGTAAAGATATCTGACCACCGACATGTGGCAGTTGGCTTAATTTTGCTGACTACATATGCGTTAGAATTTAATTCGAATTAGCTTCCCTTATCGTTCACACGGAGCTAATATGGAGTAATTTGATGTGCAAATTAATTCGATAGTAATAGTAAATTAATTCGAATTAAACTTATTCACATTAAATTCTCCGTGTGAACGTGGTTCAGATCTAACTCACAGTAATTTATATTTAACTCGAATTAAACTCTACATGTGAACAGAGTATTGGTTTTGAGTAAATATTTTTCACTCTGTGGAGCTATAACTATAATCTGTTTATATTCCTTCAGAATGCTTTATAAACTACCTATATGTATGGTATAACTTGTTTGACTATTTTCCTAAAAACTCAAATGTAAAAATCTGAAAGTTTTATGGTTTATTTGTTCTGCAGCCGATTGTCGCTATGGAGACGAACTTTCATACACGCGCTATGAATTGACCTGTAATCAACTGGTATTGCCATCCCCTCAACAGTGTTACGAGCCAACCATCAAAGAGAGATGTTGTCAATCATGTTACAACGCCGCCCACTCACTACCAGGTACTCATACCCTCTGAGAATGTCTGTGAGATTTTTTGCAATTTTATCTTTCAAGTCAAGATTTTTTTAGCATAAAATGGAATTGAAAAAATTGAGAACGAAACCATTTATGTAAATAAGTAATTTTGCAGTCATCTGGAATGATGTTACTCTAATTAACGATGCTGTCTTGTTGCGAAGATAATTTAAGATACTGGCAATACCTTTACGAATTGTAAAAAAGATGAAAATCTTTCTAATGATTAATCTGCTATTACCTTGCGAAAATATATGTTACTTATATTATTAAAACACCTCATCCAAATAGCATTCTTTAAAGATTTGATGCTGATTACATAAAGACAACAGGCCCCTATAGAACCTAAGGTCTAGCTTCAAGTACTAAAGTATTTCATTAAATGCGCACATTGATATTTGAATTTTCCAGGTAAAACAACTCCTTCAGCTTTAGATGACCAGTGCCGCCTTTTATTTGGTGCAACCTCCTATTTCTGTAAGGTATATCGATCGCCAACACTTTCTTTTAATTGCAGATTTATTGCTTAAAGACACGTTTCTAATTTTTCATTGGTTTCCATATTAACTATATTTCATATTTTAGACGTTTATCATTTCATTGACGATATCTAAAGTTTGCGATTGAGACGATGTTATGAGGTACATGTATAATTCGCAGCCCCGTATAACATCACCTCATAATAATAAACTTTTGTTTTGATCTCGTACTTAAGGCAACAACATAAACTTTGCATTCAAATTAAGTTCCTTCTGCAATAAAACAAGAATTCATGAAGATACAATTATTTTGTTGATCGAGCTTTCTCGCAAAAAGCAATGCATAATCTGTGATAAAGAATTCAAACCACAACTTGTTTAATAGACGTTGCTCCTTTCAAGCCAGTTAGGTTCAGAGTCTTTACTGAAGCTCTAAACACTGCTCACTGAAGAGTACTAAGTCCATGGTATTTTTATGCAGTTAAAAATGATCTGTCCTTACATGCAAGATAGAATAAACTGGAATCTACACTGAAAGACACAATTTGTACTAGATAAAAGTATTCTTTATATTGGACCAAGATAAAGTATTTGAATAAATTATCTGCATGTATTTTCCCAATGTAAGTAAAAAATAATTTCTGTTACTAAGACTACATTGTCTTTGAACATTATTCCTGGGGAAATATGGTAGGTACCTTAAGTTGAAAATGAACTAGATAAAAATCTGTACACCTTTATATGACATAATTTTTTCTAAGTCCAAAAAAGAAAATAGTTTACATTTGTGTTAGAGTTTCCTAAAGTTAATTATTCCCAATCCATGTTAACATTTTCCCAGCCGAAGACATTTTGGTGGTAAAGTGCTTACAAGAGTAAGCATTTAGTCCTCCACCAAAGTCATGAATCCAGGGTCATTTGTGACTTTCATATATTCATAAGCAATGAAGAAAAAAAGGATAAATCATTTCCTTAAAATGTTCAGATAGAACTACTCGATTTTTGTGTCGCCTGCAAAGCAGAGCAGCACTAAGGGATCACGTTACCAGGCGACTATCTGTCTGTCTGTCCGTCTGTCTCACCCTATATCTCAAGAACTGTAAGAGGTATGGATTTGATATTTTGCACATATATTACTTGGCAATATGGCTTTTGTAAATTACCATGGTTAGCGACCTCGACCTCGTGTCAATAAAATGACAAATGGTTATTTCTAATAATTTCAATTTAATCATTCATTTGAGGGTAATGGAACCATATTTTCTTTGATTGTCAGATTCTATCGCAGTCTTATACTATCCATGGATGCCATGTTTTTCTTTGCAGGCAAATGCATGAACTTTCAGTCTATCATGCTCATAGTAAATAAAAAGCTGACCACTCTTAGATTTATTTACACCTTTAATGAAGCTACAAAGCAGGCGACACATGCGTTCCTTGGAACATTCTAGTTATCAGTAGATATTGGATTAAAGCACGGAATATCTTCTGAAAAATGTAACTTTAAACAAATATCTTAAGAATTTTATTTATTGGATACATAACATTTTTTCCTTTGCAACTTACATAGCTTTAAGTCACATGAGGCTTGCTAACAAATCTTCATAAAGCGCTAGAACCAATGATTTGATTTGTAAGCACACTTTGTAATGTAGGACATTGTATATTGAAAAATATTATAATTCAAAAGTATTTGAAAGTATAAATCACGATGGTTTGTAAAGTTAATCAACTTCGTTGATAAAAACACTGTACATTTACATAATAAACCCCATACTTGTAAATATTTATAGACAGTGGACACGTATTCTACTTCATTTGAACCCCTGTGTGGAACTATGTATTGCGCTGATGCTAATGGTAAAACATGTCATGGAATCATTGCGGCAGACAGAACACCTTGTGGACCAAAGAAGGTCAGATCTATTGACTCAAGGGGTTTGATTACTCTCTATGATGCCAAGTGGGAGTAATTGATTTTTTTTTTTTGTGAGCTTGTAGATAAAGCATTAACATTCACATTGTTTCAGACTTAAGTATTGTTAAATTGCTATAAAGTGATTTTTGATCTTCCAATCTCCCTTCTAGATCTCTGGTTGAAGTGGGTGTTTAAAGCACACAATTTTTTCCATTTGTTTTTCTTCCTTTAGAAAAATAAAAGTTTCACCTCTTTCTAATTTCTGTCATTCCTCTGCATGCTGATGTATACTTTTTTCCACCTGTTCAAAATCAGTTGTAGAAAATTAAGCAGCTGAGGTTATTTTTCCATTTCAATTAATGGCTGTTATTATCCATGGATTTTTACATTAGTGGTGCCTGAATGGAACATGTGTACATGACGATAATGCTCCTAATATACCCAGTAAGTATCAAGATCGGAATAAAAGAGGTTTCTTTCACACAAATGGATAATTATGGAATATGAATAGAAAATACACAATTAAAAACCAATTGAACAATTAAAGAATATAAGAGAAAATTTTAAATAGAAACTCAAAATCTTATGTAACCAAACGTTGCTAGCAGGAATATGATCTAATTACTGAGAACTAAATTCAATAGTATATAAACCCCTGTATTGGTTTGTGATGTCTAGATTCTTGTGTGGCTGGTGACGTCCAGTCCTGGTGTTCCACGAAAAAGGCAAACGGCTCATACAAATACACGTATGTCTGTTACACAAGTCAAAAGGATGAATGCTGTGATATGTGTAACAAAGTCCACAATCCATCTGAGAAAGGTAATTTTACTATACATACTGCCTAATTTATATATGGATAAAGCTTCTCACAAAGTCAACAATATGCCCTATAGGCCGACTCTCCAATTTAAGGACTACTTAATATCATTTTTCTAAAATATGATTTAATGATTCAATTTCCCTGTAGCAAATTTATATCACTTTTACAGTTTACACTAATCATTTCAAGGACAAGATTCTATGCAAAACAAAATGAGAAAATCTTATCGAAGAGATTCGGTATCATGTTTACAACACAACCAAAAGTCTTATCCTACTTTCTACTGTCATAAACTCGAGAAGTCTTATAGAAATAAATATGATTATAGAAAAAGAACGTATACTGGATATACTCAGAGATTTTTTGTTATATTTTTAATATTTGTTTTGTAATATTTCCTATATCTTCTAAAAGGAATTACATCCCAGATTAACTAAGTATCTCTGCAAGACCGACTCAACGGTTTCTGTATCACACAACTGTCTGGAACCTCTTCAGTAAAGAATATTACAAAGACCATGATTCAATTTCTCTTTGTTCATGTTGTTATAGTGTAAAAAAAAAATTGAAAATAGTTTTCAATACCATTTCTGTTATTCACCTTAATGCTTTAGTTTAAACTTTGTTGTAATGACATCAACAATCATCTGAAAGGTACATTGTATAACACTAAGATAATACTCATTACAAAGCCGAACTTGTTTACAAATCTCCAACTTCTAAAAAAAAAAACCAGTCACGTGATTACATGTACTGACTTACAAGGAATATTGAGTTTTTATAATTTCTTGTTCTGTATTGAATATATGCGAAATCGTTTTCTGGTTATAGGTTGTGAATACGGGGATCACTCTAGTTCCTGTGAGAGATCGAAATGTTCAACGTACGACGACCATTCAAGAAACGTTCTTTGTTGTAGAACATGTTCTTAATAATTGTATTTTTTTAATACCTTAAACATCTTCAGTTATGCAGGTAGTATTTTTTTTTTTGTAATTCAAAATATATTTATTAATCGAAATGATTTGTGCTTACGAAGATCTGACTCAAGAATTATTTTTGGAAAGAACCACTTTAAGGGCAAGTCATTAGAATTTGCATATCACTCATTATTTTACTTCACAAACATGGAGGTAGCTGTGATCTTTACCTCGCTGAGTCTTTGACAAGATAGAGATAAATGAAAATTGAAATGTAAATATCAGTATTTTAAAATATTTTGGTTTATGGGCGAAATTACTCAGGAAAAAATGGAAATTCGTGATACAAACGCTTCGCCTCTTATAGAATTACCCACAATTTCTAAAAAGCCCCCCCCCAGCCCCCCCAAAGGAACAGTTATTTCTTCAGTTTCTCAGAGTTTGAAAAAGATATACATGACTGGTGGCCGAGTATAACATTTTAAACGAAAGAAATACCAAATAATTTGACTTCTCTTCGAGGGTACATAATACTTTCAGTTGATCTCAAATACTACCCTGCAGGAGACAGACATTTACAATTCTTTAAGCTTAATTATTTATGAAAAATTCATTGATTCTGGACTTGGGGTTAATATTAAAATGGGGTTTCATATTTAGATGTTTTACTGGAAAAAGACATTAATGGTAACCTAACAACAAAGCTTTACGATAAACGTGATGTCTTCAACATTTCAATCGTCAACTTCCCTTACTTATGTAGCAATATACCTATATCATCTGCATATGGGTTTATGTCTCTCAGTTGATTCGATACGCAAGAGCATGCTCTACGTATGAACAATTTCTATAACAAGGCAAGCTATTGACCAACAAGTTGATGAAACAAGGATATACAGTCTCGTTTGAAGTCAACATTTCGCAAGTTTTACGGTCGATACAATGACCTTGTCAGCACATACAACCTATCAGTAAGTCAAATGCTGTCTGACGTTTTTCATACTAATTGTTTGGCCATTATTTATACACTGAACTGTCTACGGATTTTTCCATTTTTTTCCCGATCATAACAAAGAGCAAACGTCGGGTGTGACCGGTCGGCAGGGGATGCTTACTCCTCCATGACACCTGAACCCACCTCCAAATTTTGAGGTCCGTGTTTGCTCTGCTCCAAATTTGTATCGTTTCTTGGACTTTCGAGATTGAATACTGTTCGTTATCTTCATATTTCGTAAAACATATATTTTTAAAAAATGATATTAAAGAAATGGTGTATCTTTTGGATATAAAACAAACTGATGGTCATCTGCCCATCAAAAGCGTACTGTAAAACATTTGCAAAGTTTGAATGACAAAGTCTTAGTTATCAAATTTCATGCATAATGCCAATACGCAGGTTTTTTTTCATCACAGAAGCAATCACAAGAATGCATTTATCGTCGAAGATCTAGAATCCAAACACAACATCTAGAGTCCAAACACAAGATCTAGATTTCTTTAAAAAAAAAGAAAAAAATAACTTGTCTTAAGTTTCGGGAAGAAGGAAACTCTTCTTTGGAATGAATTTTTACTATTTTAAAGCTTTTTTGGTCAATATGTCAATTTTTAAGTTATTATTCCTATGGAAAAAGTTCATTTTGAATTGCATGTTCTTGGAACTCTCCTTCCTATTTATAGAGTAGGATAATTCTTTTCCGATAAAATTACATAATGTAAAATTCATTATTTCTTCAACTTTGGAATAGTTATCAGATTGATTGTATTAAATAACGTCTGTAAGCATTAAAAATATTTAAAACAAGCATTTTATATGCTGTAACAATGACATAGTCACATCGAATGTTTTAAATGACAAACATTCTCTGTGAATCAAAATTATTGCAAATAAATGCAATAACTTGCATTATACACGTATATTGTGATTATAAAGTTTATAAGAATATTGTCATTTTCAACAATCAACTCGTTATATGCGGTATTTCTATCTGTTTCATTATTATTGATATCAAATACTATCAACAACTCATCAATATCCCATTAGAAACTACATTGTCAAAATTGAAACTTTATAAAACTGCATCGATTAGATTAAAAAAATAACGGAATTGATTTCATACTGAAAACTCGGTGAAAATATTGACTTTGTGGATGTGTCCCTTTTGGAATATTTTGTTTGTCACAAACAGAGAATATTTCTAATATCTAATTAATTAATGATATTTTTTTTTATTTTGTTTGAATTGTGCATTCTATTCCGATGTTCATTGATTTCTCTGCATAATTTACATTCTCAAACTTCCATAGATACTGTCGTCAGTTCAATTTTAATATTTTTTAACCTGCAATTTTGTTTTATAACATCAATTTGTTGAAATAATTAAGTCTACAAAACACGTTTATTTTTCACAAATCCCGTAAGAAATGTTTCACTTTTTTCACAGATTGATTGAATGATTTATTGACTGGAGTTAACTTTTGTCATGGATAAATGTCAATACAATTGAGAGTGGTACTTCTTGCAGACGCCTGGTGGCATAAGTTAAACTATTTACATTTTCTTTTCAGTTATCAAATTAAGTTAGAGTTCATTAGGCACTGTACTATTTTGTTCGTAAGAAGACGATAGTACATGAATTTTCATCAAAAGTATGTTAAATGGAAGCAAAGGTTGACTCAAAGGTTTCAAATGCTAGACGAATACTTTTGAAAAAAAATTAAGTTTTTATACATCACTAAACACCATTATACAACGTACATGAACTTAAGATAAGTTTAATGATAAATTGGGAAATTACAATTTACGAATTATCTCACCATATTTCTTTATTAAGTCTTAAGATTCTAATGTGTCTCTAGATATAAGAAAAGCTGTGGCTTTATCTTTGTACTACTTTTTTAGGATAAAATACATGTGCGATTATTGCAAACTTTCGTATTTAACATCGATGATGTTTGTGAGAGGGACATATCATCTCATGCCCTCGGCTTTCTACTGTCTCTTTTTTGTGGTAAATAGTATTTTTTTATGTTTGATAAGAGACTAATCTATAATACATTTAAACATATGTGCATCTATTTCTATTTTAAGGACATAGACAACGTAATTTTGCTCTGTATTTTCTTATTCTCTCTATGATTGAAGAGATCTAATGATTGGAGGACCTTTGTATACTTTTATAGTGCCTTAAGATTCTATACACCTTTACTAAAACATATTTTGAGGAAATTCCAGTTTATATGTTTCATATATTTTTCTTTGAATAACACAAGAATTTTCATCATTTGATATATATCTATTGAAAACCCCTCGTAATATATGCTTATTTTAAAGCTAGATATGGCGTATCTTAGCTTGTAAAAGAATAAAACGAGATTATGTGTAAATATATTTGATATATGTTATTTACTTTCAAATTAAAATTTTCATCGATTTTGAACTTGAATAACCTCACGTTTCTATAGTTAAATTGACTTTAAATTTGTCTGTAATTTAGATGTGGAGTCGGTAAAATTGATTTAAATTGTGTAATTTACAGGAAAATCCTATCTTTATATAAAGTAATAAAACAAATAGAAAGATCTTTTTAATTTTGGTTACCTGCACTTATCAAAAAATACGCCATATATGACTTTAAGAACATTTAATTTTACTATGATTTTAAATTTCTAATTACTTTTAAACTGTCTATTTTTGTCTATTTATAAAAGTCAAGTCAAGCTCCATATTTGGATTCTTCAACACCAGAATACAGGGTCCGTTCTGTGATTATGGATATTGCAAATCATAGGCTATTTAAACCTCCACGAAAATACTACTTAACGTTTTTTTCCTTGAACTCCAATATGCCAACAAAGGAATTGACGCGATTGATATAAGTAATATTCTTAATCACAAAAGGGTCCAGTCTTGTATTCCATCATATTTCAAGTTGAAGTCAACACCTTGTATTACAAATATACATCGACTATTGCTTCCAAACTTTTTAACTACAAGAAAACTCTACAGGGCCTAGATTTCGATCATCTAAACATAATCCTCTAACGTGTTCATGTTCTTCAAATTGAGTCCTGCTGGACACATCACTACTTGTGACGAAGATAAATTTAATAATGAGGACCTTAGATCACTTATTTTAAAAGGGCCTAAATTTAGGAAACCCCGATCTTTCAACTGGCGTCATGATTTCATATATATTATGGATTCTGTGGAAGGTAATCCAACTTATACCCATAGCTTCCTTTCTAAGGAGGAAATTCTTCAAAATCGAGTGTCAGTTTTAAATATTTTTAATATTCCCAACAATCAAAATGAATTCGTATTACCATGCCTATACTGGATTCCTAAACTTCATAAAAATCATAACAAACAAAGATAGATAGCGGGTCCTGGTAAATGTTCTACCAAGCCTTTTTCTTTACTTCTCACTAAAATGTTAACAGCAGTGAAGGAGAAACTTCAGGAGTACTGCACAACAATATATTCGAGAAGTGGTAAAAACCAGAGGTGGTTACTTAAAAATTCCAAGGAACTTTTAGAAAGTGTGCAATCACAAAATTTTGCCAAATTCAATAACATCAAATCGTACGACTTTTCAACACTTTATACAACCATTCCCCATGATAAATTGTCCCCATGATAAAGTCCAGGCTTTTTGATATCATTGACGGCGCTGTTTTTCAATAAAAATGGAAATCGTTAATTTACTTACCGTGTCATTGGTCATTTGCAACATTATTTGGTTAAAAACAAGTACGTTGAAGTTGACATTAAAAAGATGCTTGAGTTTCTGACAATATCTATGTAGTATTTTGGAGACCGGGTCTTCCAACAATCTGTTAGAATTTCCATGGGTTCCAATTGTGCCCCGATGTTAGCAGACCTATATTTGTATTCCCATGAAGCAGAATTTATTCAAAATCTTGTACATGAAAAGAACAAAACGATTGCAGTGTACTCCTTCAACTCGACATTTAGATATATCGACGACGTCTTATCAAATAATAATAGTTACTTCCTTTCATATGTCGACTCGATATAACCCAGTGAGCTTGAAATAAAAGAAACCACAGAGTCTGACAAATATGTT